TGGTCCTTGGGGCGGGGGGGTTTGGTAAAAAAAGCTTGGGGGGGGGGGGGGGTTTCACCAAGGAAGGGAGGGCTCCGGGGGGTCAAAAACCCGGGCCGGGATTTTGGGGGGGGCGCACCATTTTAACGTGGAGTGGATAGGGGGGGGGGGGGGGGGTCGGAGGTAAAATGTGGTGTAGGAAAACGCCGACGAGGTACTCGACTTATTGAGTACAGCCTAGGCTGCTTTTCTAACGAAGACGGAAGTCACAAGGTTTAACCAAGAGTTTGAGAGAGAGAAATGGGTTAACAGAGAGGCACACCCAACGTATTGCACGAGGAAAACAACCACCATGAGCCAAGGCAAAAAGGTTGAGCCCCATGTGCGCAAAAAAACACCCAATGAACATCAAATCAATGACCAAACAACCGCCAACCCGAGAAAAAAACATCACATGCGCGGCGGGTCATGGACGCGTACGTAGTTGCATTTGAGTTTTGAAGTGCTCATCTTATCTTGTCTCTCACCCATCGTGGTCGAGGTACCAGTTCGGGATCCACTGCATCAGCTGCTCGGAGGACAGCGCGAACAGCATGCAGTTCGTCGTAACGGCGATAACTGTCGTGGCGTCCATGACCTTTTGCCAGTTGCCGATGCCGGCCATTCGCCTGAGTTGGAAAAAAAAACGATTGACGAACACGTGCGCGCAAAAGAAAACGTGTTATTACTTTACAGACGACGGTTCGCCGTTTGCCCGGGTCGCCAGTGACGACATGTCACCAAACCTGTGGAAATGAATATAATTGTCGCAACCTCCACAGGAAGGATTGAAGTGGCGCATGACGGAGCGCGCATGCAGAATGTGAGAAAGAAGTGTGTTGGAAGTGCGGTTTTGTACATATCTAAGCTCCCGTGTTCGGAGTTTCATCTACCTTGAGCGATGTTTCGCGCGTTACAAACCGCGTGGCCAGGGCGCTGTGGATGTAAAACGAGAGCTTGTAAAAGCGAAGACAAGGTCGCCTGCCTATGGTCCATGCTAGTAACGGGCATATACGTTTTTCTTACGACAGGCTGCGTTTACGGCATCATCTGCGACTGTTCTACGTGAGCGCGCCAGACACGACGCCATGACCACTGGAACGGAAAAACAAAGCGATCGATCAGCATGCCCACGAGATTCGGAACATGCACGTGTTGCTGAATGCTTTCACACATCCAAATATGGCTATGGTTGTATGCCACAGCTACCAACTAACATATGAAAACACACTGGTAGTAGCAGACCTCGGCACCGGGCGCTTGTAGAGGAACAAGAGCTTGAACGTGTCTGACTTGATCTCCACGAAGGTCGTCAACAGGCTGCATCGTATAACATCGGGTGTGAAGGGCGGCGCGGATGAGTTTGATTCGGAAGACACCACACAATATTCAGACAAGCGCGCACTACAAAGAGTCGCTTCGAGCGTGAGCACGTGAGCACGCCGCTTTTCCTCCGACACCAAAACGTGCGATCACGGCGAAGGAGAAACAAATCTTCCGCCGACAACGTCATGATTTAAGCATCATCACAAAAGCAAACGGGAATGTCGTGTGCCGCCCAGCGGCAGCAACAGCAGCAACAGCAACGGCAACGAAACCGAACAGTAACAACTGCTGGTACGTTGCTGAACAGTAAAACAAACTGGTGTAGCGCCAGAAAAGGGTTGAGGGATTTGCCTACCCCAGACATGAGAACATCATCGCGCGTAGACCCCGACCGGTGCGCTGTTGATGGTCAACAGGACCAAAAGCCGACACAAGATCATAACAGAAAGCTCGTATGTCTCTTGCTGTGCACGCAGGGGGGAAAGCATGCTTGAGGGCTACGGTGGAAAAAAATAAACGTGGGGGGGGGCAAACTTACCTGAGAGTGGACGCGAAGGGGAACGCGGATGCAAAGAGCGTCATGTACCCGTACTGAATTACCATCTGCCGAGCCACCATGTAGATACAGGCATATGGCAAGAGAGGTACGCCAACAACACCGAAGGGTCGTGAGCAAAACGTGACAATTGAGCACCACAGCTTGTAGGTGATGCAAGGGTCAGACAGTCGACGGTCGGGCCGCGGGGCAGGGTTGTGGGACAAGCGGCCAGTCCCGCAACTCGAACAAGCCCACGAGACACCAACTACTGGCAACCTAAAAAAATCGCTCCTAGCAGAAAAGAGCTTGGGGCTAGGCTATTGTGTGCGACGAGCGAAATCGTTATCTGTACCGCAAAAAAACAGTCTGGAAGAGAACAAAATCTCGATGATTTGAACGACTTTCCTGGGTAAACTCGTCTCCCTCACGCACCTCAAGGTAGTCGTCGAAGGAATCGTACTCCTCTTCCTTCATTTGTTCAGCCTCAGATGCCCCAGTGTCCTGGGTTGTCGATCACGCATGAAAAAAAACGAAAAAACAATCAAAGAGGACGTCAGACGTCAGACACGACTTTGATGGTACCTAACACAGCGACGCTTGTGCTGGAAGGAGTGCGCACCTGGTAACATGTACACGAAGAGAGGCCAGACGCTTGCAAAATCAAACATGTGTTCCAGTTGGTGGTGCAAAAGAAAAACACGTCCAAGAGTCACGTACGGACTTGGTCGACGTTCCGGCCTTTCGAACTTGCAGCAGCGGCAGCCGTAGCATCAATCATCCTTGCAACAGGCTGCGCCCAACATTGTCCCAATCATTCGTGACTCACTGTTTTTGATGCAAAAACCTTCAGCCGGCGCTCTGCATTCTCCTTCAGGACGGACTTATCCCAGCTGAACGTCTGTGTGGTGTTGTTGCGTGTGAGTGTAGAAGGATTTGGTGAAAGACTGGTTGCTCATCAGCCAACGACACTGGATATTGATAAGTCGGAATGTAGGATGTACAATATTGGATATTTCAGCAGGTTAACAATCGGTAACACGCTGTCTGGTCAGCGAAGAGATCGGGACGGTTATTCCAAACAGGCCGGGGAGAAGGGCAAGAGGGAAGGGAAGAAAAGGAGGACCGAGTGTTAAAACGTACTTCAATGTGATTGACTTGGCCTCAGACTTTCCGAAAAACTCCTGAAAGGGGGGGGTCGTCAGCCTTCATTTACAAATTCCAAAGTATGGCATGGTTAACCTCTATCTTTCCACACACTGATGCCTGTCTCTATGACAGTCGGCGTGCGCGCTACATCAGACGACGATGATGGACACATTCTCATCATTTCCAAACCCCAAATACATTTCCATCCCTATTATGCCTACTCGCCGGCAGTTATGGTCCGCCCGCCCACCTACACGCTTACTGGCTGCAAGATGTGAGGTGGCGGCATTGACGAGGTGTGCTTCAGCTCCTACGCCCGCGTCATGTAAATAAACGGCTCGGTTTTACACCGCACACCACCACCCCGAAGAATCGCAATCCCAAACCACAACAATCGAGCTACTCATTCGCTGCTCCCTTGAACCGGCGACGAGCATCATGATTGAAAATTGTTGAATGCATACTTTGGACATCCCTTGCCTCAACAACGGGGGGATGGCTCTGGTTGGTTCGGAGAATACCGACTCCACGGCGTGCACCACACCACGACCGTGTACCTTACCTGGGTGATCATGGGCACGATGCACTCGGTGGCGACGCGCCTGATGGTGTCAACCGTAAACAGAGAGATGAGCTCGTTTCGAAGCTTGAGCATGTCGAACTATCGACGGGCGGTTGAATTTCAAAAGGTTGCGCAGCGATGTCGCCGACATGCCCAAAAAGAGGCGGACATGGCAAAGCGTGAGTGGTGTTATAGTCGAAGGGGTTATCAGCGTAAAATTGACGACGGCGGCTGCGCCGAGAGAAGCAGAATGCTCGTAGCCACATCCATGGCAGACATGTATGTAGCACGGCAGTGCTCGCACGCGCAACGCGCAAACCCTTTTGACGGTTTCTTATCCCAGATGCGTCTCGTTCTCCGGAATCTTAATCTTTCCATCGCAACGCAACCTTTGCCAAGGCTCGAGATTCGATTGGCGGCGGGAACACGTCGCCCAAAGGTATCTACTGCATGCGTGACGTACGGCGCACCCCGAGCGTAATTACCGTACCGTAACGCCTTCTTTTGGCTGCACATTTCTTGCAGCATGCTGTACATACAGCACACGGCACGTACCAGGCACCATGGACAGGCGTGCTCACTTACTTACCTGCACGAAAGCGAGGTAGAAGAGGGAGACGTAGCAGTCGAACGCCTCGAACAAAAAGCGCTTGATCATGAGGTTGTTCTGGTAGTCCTGCCCTCGCGGTCGGGGGGTGGGGAGGACGAGGCGGGAGGGTGGGGGGGGGGGAGGGGGTCGAGGTCAGGGAGGAACACCCACGCCGTTGGTACCCTGCGGACCGTTATTCACTTCGTGGCATGTGCCTATTCTTGACGCTGGTGTGAGTGACGTCAAACCGCGGTCGGTGTTGGTATCAGCGTTTGATATGTCGTAAGAAGCAATCGCGGGGTGAGTTAGTTGGGTTGGGTTGGGTCGTATTCTCCATCGGTAAATTTTGGCATCACCTTTGTCGCGAACCAACAAGAACGACTCGTGTACTGAATGTATACACACGACTACCCCAATCAATAGGAGCGAAAAACGCCCAAAAAACGTTCATGGGTGTTTCGTATCCTTACGCCACTCTAAATGAAGCACATGGTTCTGCACACATTCGTACCTCCTCAGTGGGGTGGTTTTCCCTATCGGTAAGGTGTGTTGCCACCGTGCGGTACACCTTGTTCCAGTTCTGGATGCAAAGGACGTGAATAACGGTCGCCCCCAAGCTCGCAGGAATGTATCCGCGATAGTACCCGTTGGCGTCAAACGCCTGATAAATGGATAGCAAAGACATTTGGTGGCACACGGGGAGGGAAGGGGGCGGACGGTAACCACAGCCGCTGACACCTACACGTACTTCGAAGAACGGAAAAAATAGATCATTTTTGCACTGTTCAGAACCCGACTCGGCAATGGGACCCTCGGAATGAGCAAGAGCGTTGTGATCTGGCAGAATATGTATTGCTGCTGGTCGTTGGCAGAGGACAATCAGAAGAAGGCTTTCGGGGCTATCTATTGCCAACAAATATCATTGGTTAGCGTGGGTCATCGGCGTCTTGTTTCCTTTGTTTCACACTCTCTTCTGCATCGCAACAACCTTGGCTTTTTATGCCACACACGCCCTCCTCCCTTCCGTTTTCACGTTTCACATCGCACTCTTTGGTATCGCCCTCTCTCTCTTGTCACCCCCTCCCCCTGTCTCTTCCCACACGCTCCTCGTCATGCACTACCACCACCCCCTGTCTCTCCCACGCACTGTCTCGTCGCTCTGCCATTCTCTATTCCTCGTTTTTCTCTCTCTACCCCTCTTGTTCCAGGCACGCACCCCTCCCTCCTCGGCGAACTTGGACAGCCACGGCACGTAGAACCAAGACTCGATCGCTGTAACGGAATCGCCCTCGGGCAACACCATGTAGCCCTGCCGCGACCAACCGTTGCGACGAGATGGTGAATCAATGTTTATGTTTGACCAATGACGTACAGCAGTAACTACTATGCGTGCCACTTTTCCTCTTCTTGTGCGCGGTCAAAGTTGTTTGTTCAAACGAGCGGCACGAGATTCACTTGATTGAATGGGGGACGGAATAACGAAGAAACGGAGAGCATGCCCCACATTGGGAAGGGGGATAGGGGGGGGGGGGGGGAGGGGGGATAGGAACACACCCGCGCGACCCAGCTCCACCAGAGACACGAGATTTGCGTGGAGACAAGAAGAAACAAGCCATAAAACAGAAAAACATCTCCGTTATACCTTCTCCAATGCATTGGTTTTAAGATGGCCGTGGACAAACATCACGCAACCAGTTATGGGAGAAAGAGCATCGCCGAAAAAGCTGCTGCAGCGAACCTCTCAAAAGCATTAGCCCGACAAAGAATTTTCGAGCTAATTTTCAAGCATGTCTCACGGGGAAATGTAAATGTTTTTTCGTACACGTTGACGATTCCAAATGTCGTTGAACACATGCAGGTAAAAGAAGCACGCTTTTCTTAAGAGAACATACATGACAATGCCAAAGAGACTAACCGTTCGAAACAATACCCCAATAAACATGATGTGTTGGAAGTCATACGCACTCTTTCTTGTCAGTGCTGCCGCACAGATATTACAGTTTCTTTTCTGTTCTTCATCCTCACGCACCTGCAAGTTGAGCGAGCAGATCATGAAGACGAGCGCCACGAGCAGCATGGCCGTGGTCACAACGACGCTCTCGCAATATCGCATCAGCCGCTTGTGCGTGGGGTAGTACCTGCGTTGGAGTTGGGTGCGAAAAAAACAGAAGATAAAATAAATTCGGGAAACAGGCTCAATAGGTTTTCTGGACCACTTGTAGACATCCAACCGAACAGACCGTCATCAAGAAATCGGCACGCGCCGCAGCCCACGCCGTGGCTCGAAGCGATTCCGGTCCATGTCTGTGTTTTAGAGTTATATCCACGTACCGAAATTCAGATAAACTAGCATCCTGCACAGTTTTAAGTTTCAAAGCGACTCAGAAGAAGGTCGCGCATTCCGACCCCCCCGCTACACACACTCCCCAGAGCGTAACGTAAAAAAGGCGTTCCCGATTCCCGTACGAACCGGTTTGCCGCCGCGCCCCGTAGTTGAACCTAGTTCGGAGCATGCCATCCTCTCTTGTTACCAATAGGTTTATATTTTCTCACCCCGCATAATTCCTTAACGCGTGTGGACATTAGTACCTGGTATAGCACTAATAATAGTGTCGTTTCGTCCTCACCTCTCCTTCTCCCCCGTAACGGGAGAAATCCTCTCTTCCCCCACGAACTCTGCCCTCAGAATTTCCTCCTCGCTCACCAGAGCCGTCCCGAACTTCCAAGACCTGTTTTTGTTGTTGCCACCGTCGTATCATTGTTGCTACATACTGCCGTCCTTGTTGTTTCTACATGGTATATACCCTACGAACCACCTTTTAAAAAAAAAACTCTTGGGCGTTTTGTGTTCAACCATTCCGACCTGTGGAAGGATGGAATTTTTCGTCACACAATCATGATTGTGAAGGATCTGGCTCGTCGTAATTTTGGGTAGCGCAGCCTAAATCTGTGCACTCCTGTAGGAAAACGCTTTGTCGATACTACACATACGCTGCGGGATGTCCTCCTCTTTCAGTGTCCTTCTGGAACAAAATGGCAAGAGCAGCAGCGCACGTGGTACCCTTTGCAGCGTACACATCGAGAAGCACCACCCTTCCGCCCCCGAAAAAAACAAATGCATTCATATCCGTAGACTTCTTACCTACCTACAATACAACGCGTGAATGACACCGAGTGCAAAATCCCATCGACAAGTGCATCCACCCGTTGACTTCCTACAACGCATGTATTGACACCGAGTGAGATAATTGGTCGTCACCATTCAGCACACGTCCTCTTCCAGTACTTCTGGAAGGAGGCCGCCCACAGCATGACGATCAGCGCGTACAGCGGGGTCCACCGATAGTTGTCCGTCTCCCTCCCAACAATCGCCTGTCCGTGCGTTCCGTGATGTAGCATGTTGCAAGATCGGGGTGGATGGCATTCCATGAGTCCATGCACCAACAACACCTACCGCCAGCCTATGCTGCTGTTAATAGGACGTCCACTCCAAGGGAAAGAAGGCCAATGCACAGCCAGGGCTGAATTTTGGGAGAAAGCAGCTTCGACGATCAATAGACTGGCTCTGTTGGATAGTTGGACGGGTTGGTCGGATGGTTTTGGGGTTGTTTTAGCCGACGGCTGATGATCGTTTCGATGAATCGGTGAGTGAGCCTTTACACCGAACGCTAGATATAAACGCGCTTAGACTAGACACTAGACACCACAAGCCTTCGTGGTGAGCAGTGGTACAGCCCCTACGAACGTCTAGCTAGCCCCACGACCAAACATCACACACAAAATCTACACGGTTTTTGCCGGGCTCCTGACGCGCTTCGCACGCACGGCTGGCGCACTCTCTCGCCTTGTGGACGGTTACCAGGAGGCCAGCGATGCCGGGCACGAGCAGCCACCGGAAGTAGAAGTTTATCCACGCGAAGTAGAACGCCGTCTGCCGCACAACGCATGACGCCACACGCAAGCGACGCGGAGACAAGCGGAATAGGGCGGAAATTCGCACGTGCAGCCGCCCTCTCAGATCGCGCGGAAATCTCTAGAATGAGGTGGTATACAGTAGTAGCTCCGTTCCATCACTTGCATGTGCCTTCTTGTACATTATGTCTTGTCGTACTTCGCAAGCACCACATACGGCACCGGAACGAAGTAAACAGCCCACGCAATTGTCATCACGCCCAACTATTTTGTGGTTCGAAAAGTTCCATTCTCGTACATCGCCACACAGCATATCGCCGCAAGCATCTCTCTGGGTCTCTCTCTCTCTCGACGGGTTGTTCCTCGGACACGGAGACCATGGGTTCGGGAGGAGGTCGGGCGAGAAAACAATCGTACAAAACAAAAAAAAAACACACACACACATAAAAAAAAACTCACACCCGCAAAACAAGAACAAAAAACGGGAGATGCGTCAAAACACCAACAAAGCACTATACGAGTGTACACTTGATGTTCGGGCCAATGTGCGGGAATACACAGTATAGTCCATAACACAAACAACACCAAGCAGATCGTACGGCTATTATAGGTACTGTATCTACCTCGGGCCCGAAGTAGTTGTTGACCCCCTTCACGTCCGCGCCGACGCCGTAGAGGCAGTTCTCCCACACCCTCGTCCTCGAGGTGCAAGCTCGGTGAGCCTGCATTGCCTCCGTCACCAACCCTGACCTCGTATTTTTGTTCATGGCATTTGTTCGTTCGGTCGTTGGTCAGTTTGGAAGGATTCGGGGGTTGACGAGGCAGTCCTAGTAACAAAACAATTACGTCAACAACAAGACCCGACGCGCTTGATTCCCTTTGCCTCAAGGAAGTAAGACGGAAGACGACAAGGCTGGAGAAGCGCCTTCGTGCCAACACCCGAGAACGGCCGGCCGACGGGAAAGACATTCTTCGGGGTAGGAAAAGAGCAGCCTTGCACAGAAACCACGACACGGCTGTACCATAGTAGAGACCATTCCCTACTAGGGCGTGCCGCCAGAGACGTACCGGCCAGCCGTAGCGCGTAGACAGCGCCGTAGGAGTGCGACCCCGTTGGCACTCCCTTGGGAGGGTTTTCGCCGCCTTGGGTGGAATCCACCATCGACCGAACCAGCAGAGCCTGCGAGAGTGAGCACGCACGGAGCGGAAGGGGCACGCGACTGTTTGTGAGCCATCCAATCATCGGTCACACGAAGCAAACAGCTTTGACATGTCCGTGGCGGACATGTAAGCGATCGATTGGCTGCTGTCGCTCTTTCGTAAATTCACCGCTTCCTGTCTCGCTGCCCCCTAATTGTCTAGGCGTGGATCCCTCGGACCAATAGCGGTGTTTCTGTGTCCCACCAATCTCTGTGACATTTCCCTCTGCCGTTCACTCTTTCTACCTCTCCCTCTCCCTCCCTGTTCTGCTGTCCTTCGCTTTGCACCTCAACCACGAGAAGGATACAAGCTGCAGGCGGCGAGGTCGCCTGCCATGTCTATACCGTCAGATTGGACACGACGCGCTTCTTGTTGAAACAAACGAGCGGAAAACACAACACACACCTCCTCCGAAGCCGTGAAGAAAGCGAGGTCATCATAGCCCTTGAACACATCCGCCGCACCTTCCCTGTGGAACTCCATCAGACTCCCGCTGGACAAAAGTGCAGGTGGCGATGAAAGGTACAGTGGGGCTGTGGGGGGGGGGGGTGCATGCCGTGAATGAGCGGTATGAAAAAAGGACTAACCTTGGTCGAAGCAGCAACAGAGCGATCGATCACGCTGCTGTATCTACGACATCGCACAAACAAGATAGCCCTATTCGCCGTTGCAGAACTTCGGAGCGGCGAAGGTGTACGGCACAAATCGTAATCCGAATTTCGGCAAAAAAAACATTGCACCTGCACGTCGGTGGCAACGCGTCTCCTGCGCTGATACTAGTACATAGGCAGCGCATACTTGCGCTTGTGCAGACATGACAACAAGACGGACAACAAGACGGACAGGGTAAGGTGCCATGTAACCACCGGACGCGACATAGATATATTGCCTTCGTTCGCGGAACACCAAGGCGCGGAGGAAGCAGTGCGCAGCAACACGTTCAACCGGTGATTCCATATACAGGCCATGAAGGAAAGTCTTCCTGAGTCCACAGCCACGTATCTGGGCTGCTACCATAGAAGCCCCTCTTACAACGGGATTACTCCTCCAAACTGAACGCAACATACATGGGGGGCACACAGCAGGGTTTACCTCCTCTGTCGCCTGCCACGATCGCTTCATGCGGGACTTGCCCTGAGTCGGCTGCGATCTCAACCAAAGCAATGCCAAAGGAACACGCTGCACCTCCGCCTCTTCCTGCCCGCTCCTGAACTCCTCGCCGGACTGCTATCTGATAGTAAACCACAACAGTGCGACCCCAACACCAACAACAGTGGTCTACACAGCAGCAATACTCTCCTCGACAACGAGGTTCGCCCGGAAAACATGTAAAGACAACAATAGCAACACCGCTCAGTTTGTGGCTCTCACGTGAAGTCCGGCTTCATCAGCTTGATGTGCTCTGCCTCCACCTCCATCACCCGCCTGGTCGCATTCACCACCAAGAAGCTTTCACGACCCGAAAAAGGCGGCGGCGTCGGGAGCGATCAACGGGCACATGACAACGACGTGAGTGTAGCATGAAAGATAACACTCATTTCGGGCTCCGGGTGTGACTACCAGGCATGCGTCGGGGGTGGTCCTTGTAGTCATGCTGGACAACGCAGCCTGGAGGTTAGATTGGAGCATAACTCTCCATCAATGAGCTAGACAAAACAAGCGACGCAAATCGTCAAGGCGGCTGCCGAATACGCGCACCCCGGTGCCATCTCTTGCACACTATCACGGCACTCCGTACCACCATAATACTGCTGTGGGCGTATCGGAAAGCAGCAGATGTATGTGTGGTACGGTTACAGGAAACACACACAGCAACATAAAGCGGGTGACATATCCATAGTACCGGGTGAACCGCGACCTACATAAAAAGGAGTGTTGCCCCGATGGTTGCCTCATCACATTTACTTGTTGGATGTTTCTCAAGACAAGATTTTTCGGGGGGGTTGGAGGACAAGTGGAGCATCTCGAAATTTAATTCCTGGTCGTCCGCGCTAGCTACTCGCTGCCCCGATTTTTCTTGAGGAGAAAAGACACGGGGGCAACAACGGATTAGCACGCACGTCGCTAGGAGACACGTCTCATCCGCATACCACTCTAAACACACTTGCTACAATATAGCAGTGGTAATCTTGCCTTCTAAGTAAATGAGACAAGACGGCTCCGCTGTATGTATATTTTCTTTCTGGTCATCGATTTTTTTTTTTGCCCCGCTGTTCAACTCATCAATATCACAGGCCAAACAGAGAGAGAGAAGAGAGAGAGAGAAAGAGAGAGATAGCAGAACCAGGGTTGCATACAAAAAGCCTGCCCGTCTTGGTGGTCAGCGTCAGCCTTTTTGTTCGTTTGTCCCGTTGAACGTACATGCGGGCTCGGGCTGGCGAGGTCTTTTCGTTTGTCCGTCTCTCCATACCTACTTGCAGGTCTTGCCTGCACGCAGGGAAACGCAGCCAAATTACACTCGGGCCATGCAGTCCCGACCATCGCACCAGAAAACCAGAGCCAAACTGAGCCACACAAACTACAAGACAAGTAATAGAAGTATTAATTTAGGGGGAAATGGTGCCCAGGTACCTCAGTTATTGATGGCAGCTCGAATGGTGGCCTGGGCCCACTTGCCAAGCATTCAATCTTGGATTTAGGGTGGGGGTCGGAGACTCCGAACCCGGTGCATAAATACAACAAAATCATGCAGTTCTCGGATTTTTTTTTTTAACGTACCTCAGTAAGGAACATAGAGATGTTTGAGGCATGGAAGAGGGCTAAAAAGGCGCGAATCGATATCGGTAGGAATTTTTTTGTTTAGACATATTTGGCGATGTAGGAAGAAACGATTGGCCATCGGTGATCGGTCCTGTGGAAACAATGCTCCATCCTCTCGAGGACGCCGCGTGGTCCATGGTCTAACCGCTACGGCGTGCAAAACATGAACACGCCCCGCCCAGTGTGCCATCTCTCCGAGCCTTGCCACCTCTCGCATCCTTACGGTACTCTACACATGTACCGTAATAGTCGGAGAGATGGCACCGGGTGGGATCGTTTTTTGAAATGTTTCTTCCTCGGGTTTTTTATCGCACCCCTGTGCCATCTCTCCGACCGGTGCCATCTCTCCGACCCCGGTGCGGAAATGCAATTAAATAATTTCGTTTAGATTTTTTCAAGGCAGCGATCTCTCCGACCGGTGCCATCCCCGATGAAATACACACAGGTGTGTTTACACGCTCCCCGGTGCCATCTCCCCGACCGGTACCATAGTATTGATACTAGTGTAGGCATACACGCACATGTACCTCATTCCGGCAACTGAAAAGGAGCTCAATCTTGGATTTGGGGGTTGGTGAGATCGCACCCCCGGTGTGTAAATCGAATTAAATCATGCCGTTCGTGTATTATTTTGCGCACCCCGGTGCCATCTCCCCGACCGGTGCCATCTCAACAACATCTCTCCGACCTGTTCCATCTCTCCGACTATTACGGGATGTGCAGAAGAGCCCGCAATGTAAGAACTTGAGCACCGTTTGTGAGCTCGGTTAAGAACCCCTATACTAAAAATAAGATAGCGGCCATTCGTAGCATGACCTTACATAACTAAGAACCCCAGCCTCGGCAAAACTAAAGGTTCTTAAGGGCGGGCGCTGGACGCATGTATGGCTGATGTGTGAAGAAAGCACATCAGCTACTGCTGTACATGGTGTTAATTAACTGCGTGGCTTCGAAGTACTACCCCGTCAAATGCATACCCATCACTACCGGAACGGCCCGAATCGGGTGAAGGTGCGCAGTTTTTCTTCGCTGCATGAATGATTGCCACAAAAACCAACGGGGAGCAGAGAAACAGCCGTTGCAGTTGAAGTAGGAGTGTACCGAGGACCGAGGAAAAGGAAAGGCGCGTTTTGCTGTTTGGCAGAATTCCGAGCGGCTACTACAGCGGTATGTGTAGAAACAAACTCCCGTGTTGTTGCACAATTCCAAACACACTACCGCGGCAGTCCGTCAAGATGCAAGCACCACAAAAGGAAAGGAGTCCCGCACCTGTGCTCCACCGAAGCAGCTTCACCCCTCTTGTGCAGCGTGACAAGGAGTTGATGAGCCCGGAGAGCGCTCGTGAGGTATTCGATCGCTCCGAGAACGTCGGCCTGCTTCTCTGGATCAGCGGAGAAGACAATCATCACGCCCCCACCGCTCTCATCGTCGGAATCATACATGCTTATGTGTGCTTCTTTTTAGAGCGCCCAGCACCCACGCTTGTTCAGTTGCTGCGCAGCAGATAGAGCTCTCGGCTCTGTCTCTGTGCCATTCCTGGCTGGTTCTGGTTGTCAGATTTGGCGGTTCAATAGCGTGACATGAACCGAAAAATAGTTCTTGCTCGAGAAAAACCGGTTCTCTCTACTGTAGGTTCTTTTTCAAGATCTCCCTCCTCCCTCCGATTCTCGATTCTCCCGGTGATTGGAGAGTTGAGGCCGGCTCGTTGAGGCAACTCAGTTGGAGAGGCGCCGAGAGAGCAACTGCAAGTACAGGCAGTCAATATCCTGTGCGTGATTTCCTGCGCGGAAAAGCGGCACGCTAGATGCGACACGCAGTCTGTAGATTTTGTTACACCAGTACCGCCGCGTAGCGGCACCGGCATGATACTTTCCGCTATGTGTGTGGATGTCCGCAGGCGAGCCAGCTGTCGCTTTTCGTTTTGTTTTATTTTCTCATCTGTTGGTGGGTGCGTTCGAGCGTTTCATGTATCGTTTCTGTATGGTTGACGGACCACCCGGGATCACACAAGAGAAAGGCAATCGAGCTGAGAGGTGGACACTGGGGTTGTTTTTTCTCCACCCGCTGCGGTAGTTGCCTTCAATATTTTGACCCGAGAGGGTTCAGCAAATCTTATACTTCCCTCCCCTTATCGCGTTTTCCACCTCTAGACAATGTACATGTGTCCCCATTACGATTCCTTCTCCCCATAGATATCGAACTCACGAGTCTTGTACATACATCTAATTCTTTCCCCTCTCTCGTTGCTCTCTCGGGGCAACAAACTCCTTCTCAGGTTCAACACCACCGTCAAACTACACGTGATTACGCCACTAATTTAATCAGACTTCTCAAGCGTTTCGATGCATTGCCCGGGTAGTTTTATGCATCAACTCCGTAACATCTGGGCAAATGTACCTACTACCCCGCAAACAAAAGCAAGATGTCACCAGTTTCACGACCACCCGTCTACTCACCCGTCTTCTACAAACACAGCACCATACAACGCCTCTACGTCGGGTTATATCCAACCGATCGCCGCTCCTTCACGTAACTGGAGCGGTTTCAAAATTTGAACACGCCTCTTTCTACGCCATGTGCCTCCTGACGCAAAGGAAGTCGACGTGATCGTCAACTTCTGACACCCGAACCTGGACAACCCATACATCGAGGACAAACGACGGGGGGGGCACGGGTGGACGATAATGTGGGGGCATGGATGCAGCACCGCCTGTGCGTGTATCCTACACATGTGAATACAAGACAGGTAGAGAGGGAAACACAGACAACAACGAGAGTTCACACAGCGTGAAACAAAGTTGTGCCACGTCTCCGACGGCGTTTAGAGGGGGGTACCCAAGCACTGCCCCTTGGAAGAAAACTTTGCCCATCCTTTCTCTACCCACGTGTATCCCCCCCAAAACAATAACGAGACCGTTTACAAGGTACCTTCTTGGGGCAGCCCAACGGGCACGGAATGTACCGCATCGAGCAGGCCATGGCATGGTGTCGGCGCCGCTCGTCGGCGCGCATCTCCTCTCCACAGCCCTTTGCGTCGTAATTGATTGTTTGCAGTTTTGTTGAGGTTTGCAGCAGTTTTTTGTGAGGGCGGGTGTTACACCGGAATCGTCGCCCCCAAAATATACAGAAGGATAAGGAACGGTCGGTCAGGCGAGAGGCGGCGAGAATAGCATCAACTTTCCTTGGGTATCTGACTTCGATGTATTTTGTAGCTTCGGAAAGGAGACCGCATGTGGTGGTCATTTTCTTTAGGAAAACTTGACTTGAATCAAGTGAGGTCGTGACGGTGTTAAGACCTCGTTGAGGCGTGGAGTACGGGCGTCAAGCCAGTGTATTTTGCACAGCAAGGCAAGCTGTCAATCACTTTCTCGCTTTCACAACAACGGGATGGGGACGCTCCGGAGAGGTCTTAGGATTTACAATGATCGTGTTGTTTGCATGGGTTAGTAATTTCTGATGATGCAGTTTGCCCCGTCTCATCGCACGCTGGAGAGCCGAACGTTTCAGCGAAAAACACGAAATCAACATAAGTGCTTGTAGCGAATGGTCATCTGGTAACACCACAATACGATGCGAAAATCCCACAATTCAATTATAAAGGTGTCGAGCCAGTCGTAGTCACCTGGAGGCACCATACTCGTCGACGAGAACACTCTTTTTCCCGGTGGGCAACCATGTCTTCTGACGGAAGCTGTAGGAAGCAGCCGTCGTTCCCACATGCAATCAGGCGCCGCCTGAAGAAGAGTATGAAGCAAAGGGACGGACTTCCATTGTTGCATTTTCAAAACTTACACAAGAAGAGACGACTTCGATGACGTCAGTCAAAAAAAAAACTGCTAGAATGAGTGATGTAGGCTGCAGAAGAACACGCATATTTTCAAGTGAGGGGGCATAAGTAGAGAGACAGCTATTCTTTTGTGCTAAAAACGTTCTACCGCTGTGCTTTTCAACTCTTGTAGCTGCGCATTCTCCTTCTTCGAATGATACGCCAAGGGTTTCTGGAAGTACCTTTCTCGCTAGAGGTATCTGCAAAAGTATATCTACATATCTACACCTTGCAGGGGCTCACCTATCGTACGGCAATGTGCATGCCTTATGCGAAGCGAAGTTGCACACATTAAGGTGAGTAAACGCCTCTGTTCGGCGAGACTCCCATAAACATCAAAGAGAGGAGTACGCAGGCAACAACGGAGAAGATACACTTGGTTATTGCCGAACGACCCGCCACCAAACCTACCTGCATGTGTCCTTCTTGTGAGAATCCAGGTCTTTCGCCGTCACCTCGTCACCGCACGCCGCGCACTTCACCAAGCGGAGGGCGCAGCCGTACATCATGTGCACCTCCAAAGCGCGAGCCGGAAACACGGCGGTGGCGGTGGCGGTGGCGGTGCCGCTCTTGTTCTCGTCGTTGCCGCCGCCACCGCTGCCGCCGCCGCCACACCCAGACGGGCACGAGATGAGGCGAGACTCGCACTCGTTGCTCTCGTGGAAGGGCAAGTCCTGGGGTTCGAGACGAGCAAGACAAGCTGTGTTGGTTCGATCGGCGTGTTTGCGGCGGAGAAGACTGTTCTACGTGCACACGTATTAGGGGTGCTGGTTGCTCTGGTCGAATAGCGAGGTCCGGCAGAGGCTAATTCGTGCCTGCAAGTGGAGACGCTAGCAACAAATAGGTGGTGGTAGCGGGAGGGCTGAGGTTCAAACAGCCCGGTTGCGACGGGTTCGAGTATTACCCGGTCTAACCTGTAGCTGGAACTTGTCCCCAAGTCTTTATTTCCTGTCCTATCACACGACGCGCCAACCCCCTCTCTCGAGACGGCGGAGTTGGTTACCTTCGCCCTAACCCGATACCCGCAGCCAAGGCCGCACGGCACGAAGCGGTGCGCGCACGAGTCGGCGTAGTGTCGCTTCATGTCGCCGAGGGGCAGGTACAACCCGCACCGGTTTCCGCATGGGGCGTCCGCGTGCTTGCACTCGAACTTTTCGTGGTCGTCGATGTGCTTGGCCTGGACGGTGAAGTGTATCAGGGCGGAAGAAAGACAAACGATGTGTAGTTTTGTTCGACAAACCTACCTAACCTATTACAACGGTTTGGCGAGTTTGTTCTTCGTAGTTTTCTTCTCCGATCTTGCCCTCTTGCTGGCCGAGAAGCATGTGCAACTTAGCATCGAACAGCTAGGTTGGTTCTGCTTTGGTCTGCTTTGGTCATAGCTGCCAAATTACGTTGTTCGCGGCAGAGAACAAGCACCGCTCCAGCTTTCACGTGCAACGACTCGTTTAGCCCGGGATGGGCATCAAAATCACGTAGCGTAGTGATTCACCTCGACCGGATGGAAACGGCATTAACACCTCCTGGGTCGGCGATGTGCCGTATTACTGAAGGCCCTGCTACGGTCTCGATTCAACGTTTCCCCTCCCCGAATTCTCTCGAGCCTAATTTCGTTTGCAACCCGTGTGAGCTGCAACTCTGTATCTATCCAGCCTATGAGTGTCGAACCGCACCTTGACGTCCTCGGAGCAGCCCCATCTGCACTTCACAAACCTCTCGCTGCACAGGGATTTCTCGTGCTCCGCCAGCATCTTGAGGCTCATCGACTGCCCGCAGCCCAGCCGGCACGTCACGCACATGAGAGAACAGGTCTGATCCAAGTCCCGGTCAGCCGAGTCCAGTCCAGCCAGGTGTCACGAAAAGTCAATATCATGCAGCGGCGATTCGGCGTAAAAGAATAGCCTCATTCATGCGCACAATTTATCGGGAATAATCGTGCACGTATAAGCAAGAATAAATTAATCCAGACAGATATTGTGACAGACGTTGATGGCTCTTTTCGAGGACGAACCTATTGCAGTTTCGCTGGTATCACGCATGATTTAGCAACCCGACCGTGTGTGGGGGGAAATAGGGTGGAGGCAGACTTGGGGGTGGTCATGGTGGAGGCACGTCCAGCTCAGATTATTTTGACACCTGCCGTAATCTCCCTGCGGCGCCGGCGAATCAAACCGACACGGATGTGTTTTAATCCAATTTCTCTGGCCTCCGCCACCCGCCACCCGGCCACCTCAACCAACAACATCGTCACTCTCACACTCTTACACTGCTGTGCAGTTTTTCCGTCGTCAAGTTTGTCTTTGCCAATTTTTCAGCAACACATGACCTAATTCTCGCCGGTCTAGAACGTTGGTGTGTGTGGAAACACTAATCAACGGCGATGCGCTAGTAGAGAACGCTTCCACTTTTTCCTGTGACGAAACACACTCCGGGTACTGGTAGCAATCTACCCGTTCCTCCACCCTCGCAGAGCTCAACGTATGCCCAGCAACAAGTCTTGCCTAAGGTCCTATACGCGCACACCAAATCTGCCGCTGAAATGTACAACGCTACAATTGACTTCGATGTACGCTTGTAGTCAACATGACAAACCTTGGCGAGATGGCGGGATATGCCTGACACGGGAACCTTTTCCCCACAGCCTTGTTCGCACTCCACCATCCTCATGGGGCACGTTTCCGCTTCGTGTCTCGAAAGAGCCGACGCCACTACCTTATTCTTGCAAGCCTTGCAAACGACAGGTCGCATCGGGCAAGTAGTCGCCTGTGCATATGTGCGCGTGTCCGCGCCCGTGCATGATTTTGGTTCGCAAGGGACGCGCGGCACGGAGTGGGCAGGGGGAAGGGGGCGGGAGTGCGACGTGGCGGGGAAGCAGGACACGCGGTTGCGGCGACAGCACGATAGCCAATCGTCTGCATCAAACCACCACGATTGTAGTCCTGTTGTCAGCATAAAAAAAATCCATGGCATATTTTATGAGAACTATTTATAACCGCAGCGCCCTCTCCGGGTTACATGTCGCCTAAGGTGTACCTGAGCTCATGTCGACAAGCCAAAAGGTAGCTTTTGTCACTCGCCTGGTGATTCGCATAGTCCTCAGCGACGACAGAAACCCCGCAACGCGTGCTGCATACGACGGGGCGAAGGCGGCACGACTCCGCAAGGTGGCGTGCCAGCTCCCGGTGCTGGAGGCGATACGCGCCGCACTTGTAGTTGCACTCAACCTGCATGCGTTTAATATGCGAATCGCATATCATGTATCATGGTTCATAACCCTCGTGCTAGACGCGGATGTGGAAAGGAACAAGCGGGCGCGAACAAATCGACTTGACGGGTACTTTCCTACAAGCGCTCAGACGAGTACATTGGCGCGTTCGTCATCACAGCTGCGCACGATAGAGCGGATGATAGCATGGAGCACAAGGAAATAAACGATACACACACAGCGGAATACGGCTTACCTCCCGATGGGCACATTCTTGCTCGTGTTCGATCTTGCGGTGGCCCGTCTCCACCAGCTTGCCGCACCCCCAGCAGCACGGAACGAGGGGATTGGCCGCCCCGCGCTGCCCTGCCGCGACTCCGAAGTACCCAGCATCTTTCTGTTGCGTACACACGATAGATGGACCCAAATGATGTGTTGGTCAAACGAGAGTTCGCGGAGGAAACGGGCAACACTCCGTGGTGGGGTAGCCTATTGCGTACCTCTTTGGAGAAATTATTTGTATCCACCGATTGGCCAACAAGCATAGGAGGACAAGGATGTGTGATCTGATAAGGTGCTTACCACGCACGTCGACATCTTCGTATCATATATACAATGCTCAAACCTACCATTTCCTTCGCGATACTGCAACTCACTCTTCAATCCATCTACCCCCCCTCGCCTCTTCTTTCCCCGTACCCGGCCACTACCCCCCCACTTTCTCAAACGCTGTTACCTCTTCATCCCCTTACCCGAGCGAGCTCTCCCTGCACGTCAACAAACGCCCTCCTCTTGGCTACATCCGCCGCCGTGTCGCCGTTCCCGTCCGCCACCGCCGGATCAGCCCCGCGGTCGAGCAGGAGCCTCACCATCGAAGCGTGCCCAGCGGCAGCGGCGGCCACGAGAGGTGGCCGGCAGAATCGCTCTCGCAGCTCCACCGCCGCGGCGGCCGCTCGCGATACCGACGAAGAAGGGAGGGTGGCTAGTGATGGCGGGGATCCCGGTCGGCGTTGCCGCGGGGTTTGGCGTAGAGGTGGCAGGGGCGTTATCGGGCGGCGTTTGGGGCGGCGGTTTATGTCGGCGCCGCGATCGAGGAGGACCTCGGCGGTCTCAAGACGACCCAGGGCACAGGCGCGGGTAAGCGCTGTGTGTCCCGTCACCTTCGACTCGTAGTCGATCTTTGTTGTTACGTGTTGTTGTCGTTCGTTGTGGTCGGCGCGGGGGGAGTGGTGCCGCAAGATGACGAACGGTTCACACGCGCAGAGGAAACCAGGCGGGTGCGCGGGACGGGGAAAGGAGGCGTCACGATATGTTTAGAATTTTTGACTGCATAACTATCAACACCAAGCAATGATACCCAATGGTCGTGTCGCAACATCACACTGTTTCCGAGGCGTCTTCCGACCTTCGCTTCTTCATACTCGGGAACACCCGATGCGCGAAAGGCGATCGGCGCAAAGCAGGCTCTACCTCTTCCGTGACAGGGCCTGTCCATCGACAATGTACCTACGCGGGTCGTTCGCGGTCCTCATAGAGCCCGTAATCGTAGGCAGCCAACCGGCTCAGCATCGAAACATTTTTCACGCAGAGCACAAAACGCCACACGCAGAACACAACACAACTGTAGGACAACAAACCAAAAGGAAAGACAACATAGTCGTATCCATACAGAGAGTATAGGTGATGGTGTGCGCACTTTCGGGCGGTGAATTCGCCGATCCAAGAGCAGGGCGGCCGCCAACACCTCCCACCCCTCCTCGTTCCTGACCCAAGTGTGGTTCGGAGCGTGAGGGTCTTCCTCGGCGGCGATGATGAGAGCCGTGCAGCCGTTCTCCGTCTCTCTGTCGATCGAAGCCCCTTCCTGATGCGTTTCGTTACACGAAACGGTAGACCATCGGGATCCAAAGGCGCATCAAGAACAATCACAAGCAGCGAAGTTCAGGGGGGCGGGGAAGGGACGGACGAATAGCTGGAGAAATGAAAATAGAGGGGATAGAGGGGGCGTCCTGAGGTTTTCGAGACGGATAAGGATAGGGGCGGAGGTGAAAGTGGTATGCTGCAGCCGAAGGAAGGTTGGGTTGCACGTCCACAGTCAACTTCCTTCTTCGACGACTCGGAGCAGGGGCACCCGCTATACAAGTACCACCATTAGTTCCTTGCCACAAGGTCACTCGACGTTTGCGCCCGCCGCCCCTTCTGAGACCGAATGTGCTGCCACGACGTCACTCGGAGTCTCATTAATCCCTACTTTATGGCCTGAGGTGCTATTTACAACCAGTATAAGCTCCTCTCGGGTTTCGGAAGTCCATTCCCGAAGATATGCTTCTCAGTGTACGTTTAAAATTTCAAATCAAGTCACACGTTGTTTACCTGGGATGGTTTCATGAGCGTCCCAGTCGGGGTCGCAAGGACGACGTGAATATGTTCAAGCATTGGTGATACAGGAGTGCTGCTCCTTTTCACAAAGACAAGGCAAAACGAAATATATGAGCGGGTTGCACCTGGCACAGAGCAATAACCTCAGGCGCCTTAAGATAGCCATCCTCGATGGCAGCGTCCATGGCTTTTATTAGGTCCTCCTGCTTCCTCATCTACGCAAAACAAGCAGCATCACGGGGGGGAGGGGGGGGGATGTATGCTCATCATCAAGTCTCGGTGGTAGTCCACGGGGCATGCAGAACCGAGACGAGAAAGGTCGGGTTTTCATGGGGAGGCCCGTGCGGGGGGGGGGGGGTGCTGGTGGCAGCGCCACTTCTTGTGCCGGTGTGGTACATGTATCGATCGTGTTGAGAGTTTGCTATTCATGAATGGACGTGCGTTTCGTTCGCGGGCTTGCTTTTGTCGTTCCCCGCGTTGCTACAAAGACGACCATCTCGGAAATTGGTGGACAGATAGGCTTGTTCGACTTGGGGGCGGGCGTGGCGATGGAAGAACGGGTCGTGCGGTCGCTGTTTGACCCCCTAGCGGTTTTTGACCCATGAAAAGTCGCGGTGCTCCGCTCTTTTGACTGAGTTACGGGAACGGTCTTTGGTCTCAAGTCTCGAACAAATGTAGGCCTCCCCGGTATAATCAATGGTCCACCAGATGGGTTTAGTCCCGGTGTTGAACAATGTCCGGCCTCTGGTCCCTTTGTGACTGGACAAATTATCAATCTCTTGAAGTCCTGCCCGTATCGTGAGAATAGGGCTAGGGAGGGAGATGAAGAGTATGACCACAAATATGCATACAACACATCACAATAATGATCCCCAACGAACTAGCCTCCACGCACAATGCTCTCCTGTTTTTCTCCCCATCTTCCTTACCACCGTGATCACTCCGTTCAAATCAATGAAACAAATAGAAATAAAAGCACAACACTCGAGCAACAGCGTTCCGCCCGTGAATCATATCGTAATCATATTCTTGTAGGCCACATCTTCTTGCCGATGTAATTACAGCTTTAGACGAACAGACAGACGCACAAACCTTAATGCGCAAAGCCCGCCGCCTGCCCTTCTCTTCTCTCCCCATCGCCGCCACGGTCGTGATCTCTCTCCACACGGCTCCCGCGACCCTCTCCGTCACCGCGAAGTGGTTTTCCATGTCCGTTTCCCCGACCCACCCTCTCCCCGGGATGCGCTCCTTGCATCCCCTGTCTCGCGTGCCGGCCTTCGCGCACTCGGCGACGCTACAGCACACAGCAGAGGTATGACACCAGTTTTTCACAGCTGTGAGACAAGATAGCTACAAAGGAGTTGAGAACAACGCACGTTCGGCTTTGGACGCCCAAGGGTACTGCATTTCGGTACCCGTCCTGAGCCAACGCCACCATAACTTGCTTTCTAATTAGGACTGTTTCAGGCGCACGCCTGTGTACAAAATCTGATCTCCGGTGAGTTGCAGCCTCAACTGAGATGGTTGATCCCCCGCAAAGCAGCAACGGCCGAAAATGCAACAAGCACGTTTCGAGCCTTCCCCCCCCCCCCTACCTGTTCTAGTTTATACAGTCAGTTGTTGCATTCTCGAGCGCTCATTCCGACGTCTTTTCTTTGAACGACCAAAATATATAGTCGGAATGCTTCAGGTCGTGTGTTATCACCTCATGGGAGCCTCCAGCTTGTAGTTTTCGGAGGTCCCATCCCCCAGAGGTGCGAAAGGTGGGGGTGCTCTAGGATACAGCCACGTACGCGACGCACCGTAAAGGGGTGTGCGGCGAAGGCGGAAGAACTGGTGGTAGTCGGGGTGAGCATGGAGAAGGGAGGGGCGGGGGCGGAAGGTGCATTGAAATAAGTGTTTTTGGGCCGTGTGCCGCATAAGAAATTCAGGTTTAGTTCAGGGGCGTGTGGGGGGCACCGTACGCTGAGGGTGAACCGGTATGCAGGATGGGACGGGAAAGGGGGTTAAACGATAATGATAGTGCGTGCATGACTCGCCCGTTTGTGAAGTACATCTCTAGAAGCGATGAGGGTGATTCTTGTCCCAGCCGAAAGCCTTTCCCCAGGTGCACGCCCGCCTACACACAGGGAGGTTTGAGTTACGTAGTGCTCCTGCCATATGTCTTAGAGCACGATCGGCGACTGAGTACCGCCAACCGGACAGACAAACCCAAACCCGCCCAACCTGTAACACTTCGTGATGTCCGTTGTACGCGGCCTCGGTGAGAGGCAGCCGTCGGCTCTTCCTCAGCCGTGCCAAGGTGGCCTGTCTACCCATCATCTCTATCACGTACTCCATTCGCCGGCTCGTCAAAGAAGGGTGCCGCCCCTCCCCATGTGGCACCGCCTCTGCCCCTTTCCTTGTGCCGGGCGTGGCCGCCCCCGCATGACCACCGTCTTCGTCGCTGCTGTTGCCACTGCTGCAGCTATTTCGTAGGTTGTGTTCTGTAGTCGCAGGGTTGGGTGCTGCAGCTGCAGCTGTTGATGATGTTTGACGGAGGTACCTCCGGAATCGATAGAATAACTGACGACGATGGTGACCCGAGTTGTGCCGGGGACGAGGGCAACGAGGTCAGCAGGAGGAGTGGTGAAGAAGGGGGGCGGGGCGGATGCACGACCCGATATATCATTGACGCGAGAAAGCTCTTCAAGTGCATGCTCTCCGCGACCCCCCTCCCAAACCCCTTGCTTCACCTTTTGAAAGGGATGTGTGTGTCGTCAACAGACCTCTAACGGTAGGGACAATTGAGAAGACGCTCACCGCACCAGCCACTCGCTACCTTTACCAACCAAACCGTACAAGTGCCGACAGCCACCCACAACCGCACACCCGCGCAAGGGTGCACCTGTATGATCGAGGCGGAAACGGCTCGGGTTTCGTCGCCGAGCTCCGCAGTCGCACCGTGACTCATCAGGATCTCGACAATCTCCGTCTGTCCGCACGCTGCCGCCCAGGAAACCAGCGAGTGCCCCGCCGGCGAGAAGAGGGATAAGAGGCGCGCTACCCCCAGTCTGTCTTCGACCCACGCTCGTTTCTGGGTCAGGTACTCCGCGGATGTGGTAGCGCCGGCGATTTCTTCCGTAAGCACTTGGAGGCTGCGTGTTTTACGGTCGGAGGGGAAGGAACTAGGTCTTACTTGGCTTGCCGTGCGAAAAAGCAAGGTGGTGTACATGCATCAGGTCTGGCCCTCGTGCAGGAGGTTGTGATGATACTCTTTTGACCCTAGCTAAGCCAAAGTCACAACCCCTATCCTTCCTCTCTGCGCAACACCGCATCCTGTCCAACAACGCATCCTTTCTTCCGACTGAGAGTAGTCGACACCCCCCCCCCTCCACACCCCGTTACAACTGTTCAGTAGCCGACAGGCCCCCCCGTCCCCACCCCCTCCAAGTGTTCATTGAAAATCAAACAAGCAGGCATTACCTAAATTCTTCCAGCTGCACGTCCAACCTTGACCTAGCGATGCGTCTCTCCAGCTCGTCCCATTCCGTCTCGGCCTCCGCTGCCCGTCGCGCGGCGCTTCCAGGCGGAAGGTGTGCCAGCCTATCGTATGCCGACACCGAAGCGCACCATGACCCGAGAGCCCGGACAAGGGCCAACTCAGCACCAGCACCACCACCTGTGTGGCTGGTACCGATATCTGTGCCCCTGACTGTCAGTTGTCCCCACCTCGATTCGCCGCACCCGTCTCCCCATGGGTCCTCATCCGCACCGCTGTAGTCACTGTCGCCGTCGTCCTCGCCGTCGTCGTCGTCGTTGGTGGTGCGCCCGCCTCCGTCGTCGGTGGTCGGGGAATAGATCTGCGTGTTGGTTGTGTCACACAGGGTCACGCTCTTCGTGTTTCTACGATGGTTGGCGTCGGCCCTGCCGTTGCTGTTGTCGGTTCCGCCGTGGTATATTGACAGCTGTGCGCTGAGCTCGTGTGCGGCTCTGTTTCCATCAACGGTAGTGGCTGTTTCTTCGCCGCCGCTGTGGTTTTCTTCGATGGCCGACGCACTCTCGGTGGTGTTCCCGCCGCCGCTCTGCTCGCAGGTGGAGTCCGCGCTAAGAGTGACAGTCCTGTCGGAGTGTGGGGGCGAATGCGCGTCATCAAGTGGCCCGGGTAGACGACAGCCTGAGCCACGCCGTTCGGAGTTTCCTTCCGCGTTGCCTTCAGAGCTGCCGTCGATGCCGATGTTAAGCAGAGCTCGCACTCCGTTGAGTACCCCGACGGGGATGCTGCGCCTGTAGAGCAAGCGGGCGATTGTTTCGTTTGGTTAGATTGGCGAGAAGCCGAGAAACAAAATTGTGTTCGTCGGAGAGGTTGAGATGACGAGGGCAACGACAGCATGCTTATGATATTGTGCCGTAGTCGGGCATGCGACCCGTTGTGGACCGGACCGACGGGGTCCCCCCCGAAGAAGGAGTACCCTGGAACACCTGTGGTCAAATCAGGCCTGAAAAAGTTTTCTGATTTCGTTTCAGTCGACAGTCCCGTATCCCCGATGAAACGCTCACCGAAATATAGCGAAAGATAAAAGAAAGGACTATCAGCGGGCAACGTTAGAGATTGAGCGGCATATAGCAATGAGTCTCCATCAAAAGTTCCGTACTCACCGGTCAAAGTGTCTGACTCGGTGGCGCAAGCTTCCGTCAGAGAGCATTGGTTTGACGGCTTCCCACAGCTCCTTGTCCGAAGGAAGAGCCCCAAGACCGCACCCACCGAGCACCAGCACGGTGGCTCTAACCACACGTAGAACTACTGCGGCCGCGGGAGCAGTGGCAGAGGGCGGCGATAAAGCCGGATTCACTTCCTTGACACCCAGTTCCCCTGCCTCCGCGTCACTACCGCTGCGGCTTTGCCCTAGAGAAAGCTGGCGTCGGGAAGAGGAGGAGGAGGCGGCGGCGGAAAGGCTGGGGGTAGGGTTCCTCCCTGCCTCTTTCTCCTCTGCGATACCGGCGTGTTCTTCTCTGTCTCCTTCCTGTACGGTAGGAGCTGCTTCCTCGTCCACCTCAGCCTTAGAGTCCGCCTTTTTTAGAGCCTCACCCTCGTTCTCACCTTCCTCTGCTTTGTCCACGGCCACCTTTCTCACGCCTACGTCTTCCGGAAGCAGGTTAAGGTCTGCGACTCTCTTGAAGTCGTCCTCGGTGAGCGCCTGAAAGCGAGATACGCTCCGCTGGAAGAGGCGGAGCGCCCTGCTCTGCATGGCCTGGAACGATCGCGACGAGATGACCGCCACCCCTGACGACCTGGTTGTAGACACCGCCAGTTGATTCTCCAAGTTCCTGCCGCGGGTGCCAGCTCGAGTGCTCTTGGCGGCCTCCCGCTGTATCTTGCGCCGCCGAGCTAGATCCTTGGTGAGGGATGCCTAGCATGGTTTCATGGTAAAAACGCGCGACATTCAGTCGGGACGGATGGGCTGGGAAGAGATAACGACATCCGCCGTCGACCGCAGACGCACCGGGGATCAATCACCATCCTGTGATGAAAACTTTGCCGATGTTACCGTTTCCCATCGATGTGACGGAAGAGCGTATCGAACAAAGAGGACAGTTTTGCAAACGCCGCGCAAATGATAGCGACACGACCTTCAGCACAGCAGCGCTTTCGAAGAAAAACAACTGTGCCAAAATATTTTCGAACCCGGGGAGCAAAAACCGCGGACGGCCTTCGGGTTGTTAAGTACACCATCCAAACCTTGAGTCGCTCAAGCTCCGGAGACAGCTTCCCCTTCAACGTGGAAAGTTCACGGAGTTTCTTAGAGGCAGCCTCGAGCTCTGTCGCCATCCGTTCGATCTCGGCTTCGAGGTGTTCGCGGTGGTTGTCCATGTACGGCTCGCCCAATTCCACGAGCGATCGGACGGCCTGTACGTCCCCGCGCGCTGGGAGTATAGATACACACGTGGCAGAAGAAACAGTGACGCAGCACACGGTTAGGCGGCGGTGGTGGTGGTTATGGCCATTGGGCGGTGTTCCTTGCAGTGAAGTTGCTGTAATGTCGTCATCGATTGTACGAACAACACCACGACCAAACACGCATAAATCCTACGATAAGCACATCTGCTTACAAATTCCTTCGCCCACCCTGCCTTGACACAGCGAGAGCACTTTACATTCATGTATCAGTGATGAGGCAATTCATCCTCATATCAATGCAGCCTGCATTCTGCGCAGCGTAGGTAACCTTGTTCCGAATTTGCACGGATCCGAAGGCCCACTCACGGGGTTGCCCTCCGTCGTGTATAATGATGACTTCACCCCCCCCCTCTCGTATCACTACACCCCAAACACCAACCTATCTGGCTCGACATGAGGCGCAGTGTGGTCTCCGCCTTAACCTCCCTCGTCATGAGCAAGGCGCAGTCGTGGTGTCCGAGTCTGTTGGCCCACCACGTCGCCGTCTGCCCGCGCCGGTTCTTGTACGAGATCACCGCACGGAACTCCATAAGGACGCGCACGACGGCGGTACGGCCGTGCCTCGCGGCCTCGATCAGGGGAGTCTTGCCGGCGCGGGTTTCATGGTTGACTTCCGCGTGTCCGATTTTCACCAGGGTTCGAACGGACCGCACGTGACCCCTGGCGATTGACAACGTCCGGGTTTTGTTTGGTTGCGAAGGGTGGTGAGACATGATGTCGATATTTGGCCGATGTCGATATTTAGCCTTGCAACATATTGCTACACCCAGCATGGTGGGATCGAGCTAGTAGAGCTGGTTGAGGGTCCCGCGCCCCTTCGAAACGAAGAAAATGGTAAATATAGGGATTCTTTCTGGGCCTGAACACACAACTAAACCACAGCCACGACGACTCGGTTTCCACTGCAGGCAAGCAAAAAATGATGGGATATCAACTCCCTACCCCCCTCTGGAACGGATACGTGGTGATCAGCCCCTCGACGGAGACAAGGCGTCGACGAGTAGCCTCGCCCCCCCTCCCTCTAGATCGTCCTTGCAAAACGCGTACGTCCTCCACCTCTACAGCGTCATTAAGGCAGAAATCTGAGGGGTAAAACAAAACGTTAACTAAGAACCACCCGTGTGCTCCTCCCCGTCTTCCCCCTTTAACTAATGTCCTTGCCTGGAGCAGGCAATCGTTAGTGCCGTGTCCCCGTGATATGATTCGCGGTTGACGGAAGTTCCTCCGGAGAGCGATATAATCTCTTCGAGCAGCGCGTGTTCCGAGTCACCCTTGCCCGCCGCCCACATGAGGGCATCGCTACCGTGGTCGGAGCACGCCACGAGACTCTTCCCGCCTTTGTCAAATACATCAGCTGCTCCCTGTTGTTGTAGAGACGTGGGGGTAGTTTTGAAGCAGCTGTTGAGTTAGTAAAATACCTTGTGTGAGGTCCTCGTCATGTAGCCTTGGTTGGACGCGTGCCGCATCAAAGCTGGAAACGGATAAGTTGTGCTCGAGTAGGCCACGTGTCGTGGTGGTAAGGGAGGCAGTAGGGGACGATGGGCACTAGTGAACATATATTATGTGGATTGTACCATTGAGGGACGGTGGTAATACAGGCTGCTCACGTGTGGAAAGTTTGAAGCGTTTTCTTCTTGTCTCCTCCTCAAAGACGCATCTGTGTGCCCCAACCAGGTGAGGAGCATGCGTTCGCAGCCGGTGCTCTCCGCACCGCATCTGTTGTTGAAGGTGAGCACCAAGAGCAGAACGTACGGCAGGGCGAGGCAGGGCAACCGTCAAGAAGACTTAATGGGCACGTGCGGAAGATGGCTGGGGATGATAGGCAGGGGCGGGGTTCTGCTTAGTGTGACGACGGGTGCGTGGGTTGTGGACATTTCATAGCAAGTGCGGATGGTGTCGAAGTCCTGAGTTGTGTGAACTGTCGCGATTGGCGATCTTAACACCCGCGTTGTTTCCCTTCGCATTGCAGCCTCTCCTGGATCAACCTACCCACTCCTTCTCCGCAAGGCAAATTGAAACGAGGGTACGCTCTCGTTGTGGCCACTACCACAATACGATAGACAGTCACATCTGAATTACCGTATTCGCCGCCGGCCGCAGGTCAACGAGTGAGCAGCCACCTCGTCGGCCGCGACTTTCGCGGAGCACCCCCGTGGGCACAACGCCGGCCGCTTGGGGCAGTCGAACGTGCGGTGCTGGAACTCCCACTGCCGTAGAATAAGGTGCCCGCAACCAAGGGGGCAGTCGATCATCTTGCTCAAGGTGCGCAGGGTCTTGCGCTCGCAGTGCTTTTCCTGTGTGCGGTGTGTCCGTCCGTACCCGCGATGAATTGATCAGTGGCGTGGGGGGGGTTGAGAGGACGGTTGATGGGGGTGAGGGTTGAAGACTTCTCATTTTGGTGGTGTGAACTGAACTGATGGTCGGGGGTAGAATTGAACGACCGGAACGCTGCATCAATTGACCTTGGCGGCTTTGCTCTTCCCCGAGCAAGCCCTCGCCAACAAGAGCAGCCAATGTTCTGCGCCTGCTTTCGTGAAGGGTTGACGCCGTGAAACAAGAACCTGCATCATGTTGATTTCCCCATGTACTCTCCACGTGTTTCCCCGTCTACTGGTGGTTGTTCTCGCTCTGGTGAGGTCGTAACATCTTATCATCAGCTGTTACATCAAGCCGACTATGATAGAATGTGCGTTCCGGGTACTTACTGAATCGCGAACACGTTTGAGAACACCGATGGTTGTTCGAGAGATGGCTGGCTCATCGGTGTGCAGAAACAAAACCATATTCCCTGACGTCGTGTGGATATTCCTCGGTGCTCATAAAGACAGACATGGGATACCTGGTGAAGGTCCATGTCCATCTTGCGGACCTTGACCCCGCACCCTAGAGAACAGTAGGACACCACTGCGAGACACGCCGTAATCCTGTAAGATCAAGAGTGAGAAACAGCAAGGAAAAATTGGTGGGTTGGTTGGTGCTAGTAGGACAAAAGAGGTGGCTCGATTTTGAAACACAACGAACGCGATGAAAAATGCCGAAAGCCGTTTCAGCATCCGGAGACTTTTGTGGCGCGGGGACATGAGTGTCGACAAGAAAATATGACACCCCAACTCTTGTCGCGTTCCGTGCGGTCGTCCTCGCAAGTTTCGCGAACGTTGTTTCACCGAGCCATAAGGTTGTGCAAGCGTTTCACCGCCTGTATGTGGTATTGTACAGACCCGACCGTGTGTGACTGTCTTTCCTAATTGAAGAGGGTTGTAGCACAAACCCGAAACCTCGATGACCTCAAGACATGCCTGTTTTCCGCCTTTTTCATGTCATGTCGAGTCTGATATGCATATCTATTTTCGTTGCGTAAGTCCAGAGACTTATCAGTCTTTCTCGTGGTACTCTTGTGGGGAATAGCCTATACGAACATACCTGATAACGGTCTGAAGCGTCTTCTTTCAATGTGAAAGGAGCCGAGAGCGCATCACTTACATACCGCGGGCTGTACTACAGTTCCTATGTACCTGTGATCTTCGGTCTTGGAGAAGGGGTGTTCCATCCCGCATTCGCACTTGACGAGTCTCTCCGAACACTCCGCCGCTTCGTGCTGCTCCCTCGAGCAGACCGCCACCTGTTCGCCGCATCCCCGGCGGCAAGGCTCTCGCTGCAGCGGACAGCTGTCCCGCAAGTGAGACGACACCTGGCGTTTTTGTCGTAATCATCAAAGAATAAATATGTACTTCATTTGAGTCAACAGCCTTTCAATGTCCCAAAAATCACCACCCAGCTGCAAAAATTCAAAACGACCACTGGTTTCAAACAGCCGACAATGCTCCGCGATCAGATAGACAACGGCAACAGGAACGACGCGAGAAACAAAGATAGAAATACCTCAAGCTGTTCAGACTCCAACACCACAATTTCATAAAAACAATCAACTGATATATTAACCGCATCACCTCTTCGGCCCAGAGCTGGTCTTCTGGGCAACCCAGTGGGCACGGTACGACTCTCTTCGGGCATTCCTTGGAAAGGTGGTGCTGGAGGTCTTCCCCCCGTACGCGAGAGCCGCATCCTTACGTAGGAAACAAACATCGAGGAGAGATATACCGGTGTAGGGTGGGGAGGAAGAGCGGTAGGTGAGCGGACTGGGCAGGGAAATAACTTGCATGTGAAAACAGCACCTCCCGGCACCGAGCTTTCACCGCTCTGGAACGCGCAGTAGATTGAGTTCGAATAGTCCCGTTGTAAGTGTCAGACAGGCGGGGAGATAGATAAGTCTCGGATGTGAGAGAGTCACACCCATTTTCGTGGTGTAAGGAGCGGCGAGGAGAGAGGGGGGACAGCAACAGAGATGGAGGAATGGCGTTTGGGACGAATCCCATCTTTCTTCGTTCTTCTCTCACTTGGTGCGATTTGGTTTTTCTTCTCAGCAACCCGCAATTGAGTGCATCCTGACCTCGTCACAATATTGTCGTGCGAGTTGCAGTCTCTTGTGTGGGAGCCACTGAGGTCACTCCAAAAAATCAAGCCAAGCTTACACGTGTGACCGCTCACGGGTCCAGGAGATTGGGGTGGACAACGATTAATTACTGCAGCAGAACCATGTACCGGCACTGCAATTATTAATATATCTGGTAAATTGTAATGCACGTACCATTTGTGCAGCTTCGGGGAACCCTGGGACAGCTTTCAGCGAGGTGTTTGGCGTGTCTCTCAAGCGGCAGAGATACTCCACACGCCTCGCACGGTGAGCTACGAAACGGGCACTTCTCGTCCATGTGCTCCCCGAGTTTTTCCTGCCTCATCTCCGCCCTGCAGCCTAATGGGCAGATCACTAACCTGATTGTGCACGATAAGGTACACGTTCTTGAAGGAAGGAGATTGAGCCGACTGGGCGGGGGTCGTCGTCGCTATTTGGTGCTTGGGCCTGCTAAACCAACTTTGATCATACTGACGTTCGTATTGTCAAAAGATTAACTGCTGTGCCGCCACAGCAACGCCGGCCGCATTGAAATGTAAACACAGTCAGCGGGCGACGGAATGCCTCACGAACTTCCTATCTACGCCGACACTTACAGCTACGCAAAACACACACAAAAACGTGCGAAGTATCCTCCACGAAACTGGCCCCTTACGAACGCCTCACGATACACACCCACCCACGCACGTACCGCTTGGGACAATGGTCTTGGTAGTGCCGCTCGGCCTCCATGACGACCAAGCTCTGCCCGCACCCTTCCCGGCACGGAGCGGAGCGCCTAGGGCACGAGTGCAAGAGGTGATCGGCCATGTCGGCCGCGGGAATCCAGCCGCACGCCCACGCAGTCGAACCACCACTGGCACCGTTATCACCGTCGCCCCCCTGGTCGGCCCAGACAAAGTCCAGGTCCTCCAGCGCTTGTTGCCTGGGTGCGTAGTGATTTGAACCGGTTGGGAGGTCGTGAGTCACCACTTGATGCTTGCCGTAGGCATTTCGGCGTCGCCTTTCTGAGGCAGAGCGACCACTGGTAAATCTCTTGTCTTTCTTAGGAGAGTCTCCAGCACGCCTGGGTGCGCTTAGTGCTTAGAACTTGCTCCGTTCGAAGCAAATATTTGCCTAGACTATGGTATCCTCTATTCTCTGGTCGTTTCCTTGAGGGAGGGGGGGGGGGAAGAGGGAGAAGCCGATTGAGATGCCAACAGAATTCGTGGTCAGGGTTCGGTTGGTGGCGTTCGTCGTACCGAAGAAGACTGACTGGCCTTACACTGGAGTTCACGACGGGCTATTGTCAACCTCCGAGGATCAGCCAACCCAATATGCAGCGAGTCTACACCGCCGAAACGGCCGCAAGAAGGTAATAATGCAACTGTTTAGAGGGTAATCTGTTCGGAAGGAGGGAGGACAGGAACCAAAGTAGATAGCGAGGAAATATTGTACAACTACCTCACCGTGCTCCGTACGACGTGGCAAAATTGATCGCCACGAAACCCAACCAGACAGTGACAAGACGGTATTCTTCACAGATCCCTCCTACCGATTTCCGTGTGGGTAGCGGATCCCAAACAGCCCAGTGGAAGTGTCGTACGATTTCAGCATCCCGGGAACCAACTCTACCGGTTCTCCTCCCTCCTTTTCCTCCCTCTCCTCTGTCTCTTTTTCTTCATCCTCCGACGTTGCTGCATCGCATGTCCCGCCGTCTTTGCCGTCATCGTTGCTATCGCCCCTATCTCTATCATCGCCTTTTGCCGGCGGTGCCGCTGCTGTTGCTGTTGTTCCGGTGTGATCATCCGTCTTCCGTACGAGTATTCTTCGATGCAGACAATCAAACCTTGGACGAGACAGCACAGAGGAAACACATACGCGAGTTTATTCGTACATATTTCTCCCCAGGGCAAGATAAAGCGTACAGAAAGTCTGTTTGCAAGATACTTATCGTACTCTTGCCTGCTACGAAGAATTGCGCTACGAAAGGAACCAACGGTGTTTGAGACAGAGGGAGACGTTGGGCGAGGGGATAGACTATGAATGAACTGACATTGCCGTGAAGCGGCACAGGGTACCGTGCAGTTGTGGCAATGCGAAAACCCACGACCGTCAATAGTTACCATTGATGGTTCTACCCCGTCTTCCCATAGCGTTCAGCATGCTCCACTCTTCCGCCCCCTCCCCGTCCTCCCCTAACCCCTACCCCTGGCGAAGCACCTGCACCGCTGAAACCGTTCCGGGCATGTCCCTCCTTCTCCCCGGACGTGCTCAGAGATTTCATTGTTGGGGAGAACGGCGCCGCAACCGTTGGGGCACGGAACGGGTCTCAGCTGGCAATGGTGCAGGGCATGGGTGTCCTTTAGCGCCGCTGTGAGCCCTCTGCCGGGAAACAGTGGAGGTGTTCCAAAGGGTTGAGCGTAGCAGGCCGAAATGGAGAGTAGTCTCGACGGGATGTGTGTGATTCGACTGTAATTTGTTGCATGTCATGATGTCTAGGCCATCGAGATCGCATACATACCCAAAATGACGTGTTAGTTCTCAATAGGGTCACCGTTCGCCTTTATCATGCCATGATCACCGCGGATTGTGTCCTTGTGAATTCCCTCAAAGTAGATTATCCTGAAGTTTACTACACGCCACTGGGGGGTTGTTTCGGTCACTAACGGACCCCGACGAAACCGATGAAAACGCTCACAAACATGTGATCGATGCCCGCGCGCGCATATATTGCACGCAAAAAAATGTCCCCTACCGAGAAGGGCATCATTGCTTAGTCGGTTAGGCGCCCTCGATGCTAACGAGAGGGTGAATACAAGAACCAGCGCACGGCACGGACGAACACGCATACCTAATGCCGCAGCCGTGGGGACATTCCGCGGGACGCTCGGGGCACAGCGATTGCTCGTGCAACTCCCGCCGCACCAAGGGCCCCAGCCGCTCCCCGCACCCCTCCCAGCGGCACGGCTGCGTGCAAACCTCCTGCTCGTGGTGCTGCAGCTCCCCGGCGTCAACGTTCGAGCCGCACCCCAGTCTGCAGCGGACCTTGCGCTTGCGGCAGTCCTGTTTAGGGAATATGGCGACAAGGGGTGGAGGTGGAGCGGGTACGGCGGGTATGTAAATGTAGATATAGGTTTGACTGGTTGCCGTTAAAGAAAGTAGGAAAAGGTTGTGTTGTGCCTTTGACCGGGCCCAATGGGTGAATGGAGGCATGCTGGGTGGATGGACCCCAGATCCCGCTTCTTTTTTCCGAACTTGCTGATGGTCCTTGCGGTATTGAGATTCTTGCTTTGGGGAGGAACGCCATGCAGGTCTCCCTCCAACGTTGCGTTTGGTCGCCTTCAAGGGTGTAACAGGCACGCGAGCTCCACCCTTGGTGTTGGTGTCTCATGATACTCTTGCCCCTCAAGATCGCCCACCAAGAACCTATGCCGTGACCAGGCACAAAGAAAGTTCGCTAAACGAGGGACATGGCAGAACTTGCATGATGATTGTACTTATGCGCGCTCCAGAACGTATGTTTGCGGCACATGGTTCCTTCTTTTCCCCTGTCACCTTCTTGATGTGAGCGTCCATCTTGGCTTTTGTGATCTTCTCCCCGCAGCCGAAGACGCACGGGTGTTTGCTTAGCCTGCAGTGGTCCTGCTCGTGACTGTCCAGATCACGCGCGATCACGGATGCCCCGCAGCCGCGTCGGCAGTCGACGCGACGAAACTTGCACCTTATAATTTTATTCGTTTCGGTGAAAAGAGAAGACACCAACAGGAATGAAACATATGGTGAAGAATATACAGCATTGCCGGTACATACGCCACAGCAGGCACTTCTGCAAGAAACCAAGGGCAACGATACGGCAGTAGATCCAACTGAGCTAACGCGCGTTAGGGCCAAGCAAAGAGCGGGGGGGGGGCAGGGGCGGTAGAGCCACAGTTTACAGTAGAACACTGCATTTCGAAGCAGGACGGATTAGATGGGAGTTCGAGCTGACCCACACGCCCGCACCACCGGAGCCCTACTCGCCCCGCGTCTCGGTGCTAATCGTGTTGCATCCCGCCCATGGCGTACATGCTCAACAACTAAACAGGTCAAACTTGACCCGAAAGCATTGAAAGAGCTCTCTGACCTACAGTAGTGTACATGAAGATAAGCTCAACAGAATGGGCTACAACCAACAAGTCAGGCACGCCTTACCCTAAACCCTTCCCCAGTATGCACTCTTTTCCCGTCCGTACATGTGTCTGATGTGTGCCGAGATTCTTTCGTGCGGCATGACGTCGTAGCACCCGAGGAAGGCGTTGGGGCAGGCGTCCATTCTCTTCTCGCATTCCTTCTCCTCATGCTGCGGCAGGTCCCCCGCCGCCAGCTTCTTTCCGCAGGCCGGGCAGCCGGCCGGGCGGCGGGGGCACTCGGTCCTCTCGTGGCGTTCCATGCGGTCGCGCCGGTCACGGTGTCGGCAGCCCTCGTTACCGCACTCTACCCTAGACACTCGAGCGGGAACCGGGCAACGGTGTGTGTACAATCAACAAGGGAGGTACAGACGTACGCCTTGACAACTCGACGAGAACGCATGTTTTGTATTGAGGGAAACATGTGGTGGTAAAGCCAGATCATGCCAATGAGAACGTGACAGATCGGGCAAGGTCGTAATGGTTTGTTTTTGTCTTCCGCTCAAGTTGTCCTTGGAGTGCGACACAACGTGGGGGAGAGCTAGATTCACTATGTAGCCGATGACTTCCGCGACCTCGTTCGATGATTGTGTGTGCGATGTAGATCCAGCAAGATTTGGCTGCGCAGCGAAGTCACATTCACGAAGGCCGTCGGTCGTTGGCGCGCCGCTAGACTCCAATATCCGTAACGGTGCCAAACGTCACCTTTCCGAAGCATGTTCCTGTGCACGCTCTCCGGCCTCCCAGACCTCGATCCTCCCGTCGGCATTGTCCAGCAAGGTGACCACTTCGTCGTACCCAGCCTGGGAAACATCCACAGGTCACCGCGTTCACACGCGCGGCGGTCGGCGGGGCAAAAACGGAGAGTTTTTGGTTGGTTCGGTTGTGCAGCTCCAACAACGTCTTGTGTGTGAATTTGCACGATTGCCTGAGCTTAGGTGAGCGTGCCACGGACACCACACCGAGCACAAGCAGCAGTGGCTACGGTGCAACGAAAAGAGCCGATGCTCGCTAACACTGGAGGTAAAATCTCCCACCAATGGAGGTGATGCCGTTTTTTTGTGTCATGCGCACTCTCTGGCAAGAAATGCCCACCCGGAAGATAACCGTGTATCCCACGCGCGGGGTAGAGAAGTTCCGAAAGCTCTACAGCCTCTTCCAATGTAAGCACGCCATATTTGGAAGAGCTCCGAACATTTTTTCACAGCGGGAAGCCTCTTTCCGCACGACGCTGGTTTGGCGTGTGTACCAGAGCTCACCGAGTGCGAAACTATTCTCGGTGATACTTAACTCGCCTACAAGTGGGATCAGAGCCCCGCTGCCTGGCACCGTAGACCATGAAGGTCTTCGACGTTCGTGTGTAAGCGAAGCTGATTCTGTAAGCAACATCTCGTCCAATGGGTATCGACTAACAGCGATCACTGGTTTTAATTTTCGGGGAGCATCGGAATACTACTCGACGAACGAAATCCATGAGGCTTCTTTCCACTACAATACTCCCTAAAAGATCACCTCGTATGAACGCAGTGAACAAAGGGCATGTCCAACAACATAGCCCCATCCGTTTGGCACGAGCCACGTTTAAGATCAACGGCACCTTTCAATACGGCCCGAAACGCTCCACAAGATCGAAAACGAAATAGAGAGTGCTTTGGATGCAGTGTTGTTCTCGAGGGTGCCTGACCTGTTGAGCAAGTTCACGGGCTGTCAAGCCTTGGTTGTCTTTCCGCCGCACGAAGTCGCGGAAAGGGTGGAACCAACCGAGGCCGGGCCCAGCCCCATCAGCTTGTCGTGGTTTGGCGAATCTGGGAGATACATGCCATGCGGTAGAGATGGTCCGAAATTGGGGTGAGGACATGGTCGCTGGGAGGACAAAGAGCAACGGGAACTGTCGCATAGCGTTTCAAACACGTAACTCGACCTCCGTGGTTCAAAGGGCGGAGAACCAGTTTGGAACGTGGATGGAAGTTTTTTAACTGAGGTTTTTTCGATGGGTCAAATACCGCCCCTCGAAATGAAACCCCGTTGTGCGCATCGTTCCGGATAGTCATGGTGGGTGCTTGTACTGCCCGAGGAGTCAATGTAAAACACATGGTAGCCGACCAAGGAAACTAACAAACAACTTGAAACGAGTTGCATACGCCCCCCCCCCCGCCGCCCCATCGGTCATGTCGACTCACCCGTCCCTCAGCAGAAGATCCCGAAGCCGGTCTAACAGGAGCACGACAACCCCGGAATTCCCATTGAAGGCCGCGTTGTGCAGCGCTGTCTTCCCCTCGACCAAAGTACTCCTCGTTACTGCGTTGATCGCGTCTTGCATCGGCCCCGACCTCGACGAGCCGCTGCTGCTGCTGCTGCTGCTGCGGCTGCGCTTGTTGGTGTTGTTGCCAAGAAGCAGCTCGGCCGCGACGAGGTCGAAGCCGCACACGGCTGCCCAGCTGAGAGCTGTGTGGCCACTGCTCGCTTCGACACCAGGGTCCGCTCCCTGTATTTATGCAGTTTGCAAAGGAGCACTATGTACAAATTGTGGCAGGCATGCTCTGTTTTGAACATCTCTACGTTTACGATTCAACGCGAGACCGTGAACGTGGCCTATTTTCTGTCGAGAGAGGCCATTAATCGCCGACTGGAACAGCTGCAGAACACTATGAATTCTCGGGGGGGCAACAATTCAATACCCGCAAGGGAAGAAACTGCAGTTTGAACATAGAACGAACTCGAATTACGGGCTATGGCTTCTTTTGAAGCTTGCGTCATGAGAGCAAACAGAGTGTTGTCCTGGGAGTTGGAAATCGCGTTTGTTGCTGCTGTCATCAAAACTCTTGTGTTGGTCAGAAAGGATGATATTTTTATTGGGTGCATCATGCACCGTCGTTCATTCACCGTTTACTTCAGAACAACAAGGTTTGCTTCCCACCTCCTTCATGAGACGCCGCACCGTCTCGGCATCGTTTTCGATCGTCGCCAGCGCGAGCGCCGTTGTGCCCCCTCGCCCCTCGGCATCGAGAAAGAATACCGGAATTCTTCTTAGCAACGAACCGTCGTTCGGTTCGGTGCCATCTTCAGCTGTCCAGGGCGTTGCTAGTGCTGCAACACTCGGTTTTTCCGCAGCTGTCGGTGGAGTCGGACAAACACTCAATGCTTGTTCTACGGTGGATGCTGGTGCCTCACCACTGCCACCACAACTACTCTCTCTCGCTCGTTCGTTCGCCTCTTCTCTTCTCCGAAACCCGAGGCGATCGCACACGGACACAAACTTGTCCCGGGTCAGCTGTGCCCGATCGACGATTCGCTTAACCTCTTTGAGGTCTCGAGCGTTCACTGCGTGAGCCACCTCGCGGGCGTGCCTCGCGTTGGCCTCTATCACAGCCCACAGCTCCTTGTCGCCTCGAACTGCCTTGGTTGCCTCTCTGGATGTGGTATTTTGTTGAGGAAAATCAGCAGACGTTGTTGGTGTTGGCATGCTTCTACCACATTGGGAGAACGTTTGCCCGGCTTGGTCGTCTTGTTGAACGAACAATTGTACCTGTCGGAGATCCCTGATGTTTTCGCATCTATGACATCCATCCTATGATCCTTCTGTTTGCGCATTTCCGCTTGGGTGGGTATCGATTATAGCTTTGTTTCAGGTTCTGTGAAGGCACCACGATAAACTAGACTGTAGCAACTGTAAGGTTGTACCTTCTTTTCAATAGGGTCGAAGCTACGAAGATGGTACTGCCATGGGGTTCAAGCATATGCGGGCTTTGTAGACTACAATAGCAACATATATCGAGTACTCCTATCTATGTATACAGTACTTCATGTTCTCTACCTGCGGTATCGAATCTCGTTCTCCATCGCCCGCTCCAAAATTCGAGCCGCCTTGTCGCGTCGCGCGATGCGACTCCAGTCCAGAGCTGTCCGACCCTGCCTATCCGTTGCGAACATGTCGGCGCCTTCGGCGATTAGGGTGGCCAGCGTGTCGACGTGACCCCAGGTCGCCGCGCGCATGAGCGGGGTGAAAGTGTTGAGGGTCGTGTCCACATCCCCTCCTAGCTCAATGGACCTTACCACGTCGGAGGTCTTGCCGGCGGCGGCTGCGAGCGTCAAGTCCTTGCATGCCTGAAAAGTGAAGGTATAATTTACATGTAGTCATGGGCTTAGTGGTTGAGACGTTCGAACTACTGAACACGGCGCAGGCAACACTAGACTACGGTGGCTGAGTACACCATATATCGGTTGGGGTCAGGGGGGGCTCAAACTCTGGTTCAAAAGACAGCTGACGCGCTCAAATACGTCAGCATGTTACATAGGTCTCCGCGTGATGTGCACGAGGCCGTATTACCCGCGAAAAACGCGAAATGACAGCGTTCCTTATACTGTACTGCTTTACAGTAGTCTAGAATCTAATGGGCGCGTTCAAAGAAGCACCCGAAACCATGTCTGCTTCTGATGCATTATTGCACTGCAGCTACGCTTGCAAGTGTTAGCAAGAGATTGGTACAGTAGATCCACTGTCATGAAGGCATTCTTGATGTGTGTGTCTGTCGCTCCATCTGCAAAACATGCCTGCCTGCGGCGAACGTCGGCGCCGCCCAGTCGCCTACAGGTATGTTGACTATCATATGCATGTCGCCTACGCGGGGCTCTCTATGGTTGTATCGCATGTTGCCCATGCATAGGCGGCAATGAAACAGAGATGGGAGATATCCACTGCGATATATATATGGTACGGAGTAAAGTAGACATGATAATTCCACCTCCACATTAATGTGCAGACAACAACAACATGATCACCTGTTGTGCTACCCTCTTTTCAAGCTCCTCCACCTGCCCCGCGATGTCTGGGCCCGAGAATAATCCCGTGCTAGCTGAATGAACGGAGTCATGCTCTTCTGGCCCCATACTCATGCCTTGGTAAATCATCACAAGTGATATTCAAATATCTTCACGTTTGGGTCGCAGTATGTGCAGAGCGCGGCGGAAGGAACATGGTGATGAGACCATGCCCAGGGTGTGTCGGCGGGACACTTGGACAGACAATGCTCACTTTCCGCCACTTGCCAAACTGCAGTGTTGGGGACAACGCATAGTCGCAATGTGGTGGCGATCGCTAGCTGTAGCCGTATCCCCAGGTTTGACAACCTGTGCGCTGCCCTTAAGCACTTTAACGCAATGACTTTAAGGTGATTGGGCGAATGCGGCCCGACTGCTGTGAGGGACCGTCGACAGTTTCGACGCAGACCGACCGCCACACTCTGTATCCACCGCAACGGAAGATAGATACAGATGTAGCATCCGCCCCAGCGTCATAGGTTAAAGAGACCAAGGGCAAATATTAGCAACGATGGGAAATTAATTAAATGGCTTCGTATTCAAGGCGTCTCATGCTCGACGCCCTTCGTTGTCAATACTTCAGTGGCAGCAGCGTCGGGGATCCAACAGCACTGCGCTGCGCGGTCGAAAGAGAAAAATATCCCCCGCCGTCCCCCCTCTCCCGCCAGCGAGAATCCTGTCCGATCTAGCCTGTGAAAACCCTTCCTTGGTTTCGGGTTGCGTGGCCCCCTCGGTCGGCCAGCCGGGAACCTGCTGCTGCTGTGTACTGCTCTCGCTACACGCTGATCAGAACAGGCAGCACCCAAGTAAGCACCGAGTTAGAACCATGGCGAAGGCAAGCTGCGTGATGACGAGCGACGAGGAGGGGCTTACTGGATCTCTGATGCTTTCACAGGTGAACGGGAGAATGGGGCATCTGCTCAAGATGGTTTTGAACGAACGGTGCTCGCAAACAGCAGCAGGAGGTTCTCAGAGAGCAAGCTCTGCTTTGCACCCCCAAGCGGCAGCGGCGCAATTAAATTTCATAACCCATGTGGTTGGGTGCTCGTGTTTTTCTCGTATCTCCACAACCTTTGATGAAGCAGGTGGCATGCGCCAAGTCCGCACAGCCTCGAGACCCTTGTATCCACAAAGAAAGTCTTGTTATGTACAAAGGGAAGATGGCACCGGCAGTTAGGATATGCAACACACCCGGGCACCCGGGTTGCGAGGCTTCTTCCTACACCTGACCACGGGTCGTATTGCACTCACTATCTCATTATCCATTGGCCGTCAAGCTCGGGCTTCGCCTCACACTGCCTGTCGTTACTTCGCCCCCCCCCCCCCACCCCCCCGTTCGATGTATGTACCCACGATCAAAAGGCCCAGGAGGAAGCCCCCACCATCATTTCGGGAGAGATCGCAGGCATGAGGCCGGTGAGTCGCTGCTGCAGCCATGATCAGTGCACGGCTGAGAATCCAAAGAGTTACCTGAAAAAACTAGGGTGGAGGCAAATGTCGAATCCCCTTGTACGTTCTTGGGCTGCATTCGTGATGTTGGGGCTTGTCCACACGTGACATGCTAACACCGCCACTTGCGGCTGTTTTTTTTTTCGCCTGTACTGTACGGCCAAGTATTGCTGTAGATTAGCTCGTTCACGTTGACACGACGCAAGGGCTGCTGCTGCTTGCCAATGGTGAGCTTGGGGCGATGTTATAACAGTGACCAAACTTTTTTTGGGTCGCCTTTTGTGTAGGTCCTTGGGTACCTCGCATGATATGTCGGCCATTGACGTTGCGAGTTGCTCGAAAGGTTGTGACCAATCACCCTGTGAAAGGGAGGGACTGCGGTGGTTTCCGACCGACCTCTCTCGTGTCTACAGTTTCGCCGGGAGTACTAGGTTTAACCAACAGCTGAGATGTTGGTGAAGGAATGAATCCGCTCGTCCCTAGATTGTCCAGCGCGTGCCTGCGTGCGTAGGTTCTTGAAACGGTGACTAAAGAAAAAGCGGCTTGTGAACCGGCCGCGCTTACGGCTCGGGGCCGTCGCTCTTGTTCTCCCCCGTCAAAAACATCAACCTGCTGCGCGTTCTTGTTCATCGTTCGCAATGACTCTGCCCCGCCCGCTCCAGGGCCGACACGGCATCCGCGTGCACGTTTTTGGGGACTTTTCCGAGGGTTTGGTAAGTGCGGGAGGCATCTTCAACCCGTTCAGCAAGAATCACGGCGCTCCGGACGACGAGGACCGAATGGTGGGGGACTTGGGTGAGTTGCCTGCTGTAGTAGGTGCTTGTCTGCATGGACAGGTGGGCTGTACGAAAAGAAGCTCAAGTTTAAGCGTTGGCTCGTTCTTCTTGCCTGGCAAGCGACCAGAGCGGCTGGGGGCCTGAGCTTGCTGCAACAGAAGAAAGGGGGAAATGTGGAGGGGAGTAGGAGTAGGAAGAGGAATCCCGATGTGGAGGATGCCCATGTGCTGACGTAGCTGGAGAAGTTGATGAATTGAACATGGATGTATTTTTGGCAGTAGGGTTCTTAAAGGGTACAGGACGAAGTCAAGCAAAAATTGAGCAACCCCCGGGCGCTCTTTCCACGAACCGAGCAATAAACAATAAACGCCCCAAGCGCCCTCAATCATCTCGCTTCGTCTCGTCTCCTTTCCCTCACCCGCCCGCTGGGTACCGCACTCACACACCAAAAACGACGACGATGACATCAACAACAACGCTTTTCCGCTCTGTGTGCCTGCCTGCCCGCCATGCCACACAGGGAACATAGACGCGGACGATGCTGGCGTGTGCAAGGTGCACTTGGAAGACCGAATGGTGAGGCTTATCGGGCCCCACTCTATCATCGGGCGGTCTATCATCATCACTGCAGGGGAAGATGACCTTGGCCGGGTGAGAGCGGGGGGAGCTATTACGTCGGAAACAGAGGGAGATACGTACCAACTATCATGTTGGTCGTGTTGCGGTGTTGCCAGTAGGCGTTCGCATCCCGAAGACTACTTTGTCGGGACGGATGACGTCGGATTTTCCGCCGGCCATGTTGGGTGTCGGCGCCATGTGGCTCTTCGTTGCAGACCATGAATGTGACGCGGGCCACCTGTACGCTTGTTCCCAGGTTTGGGATAACACGCTCCGGTCGGTTCTCCGCAGGTCATCCGGTGCACTGAAAGCGGTTGCGTGTTGGCTTCGGCTACCAATGTGTCGTTGGATCTTCTCCACCCCTGTTGCTTTTGCTCCCGTGCAGAAAGCACGATATTTTCGCGTGTTCGGCGATGATAAACACGGAAAAGCCTCCGATGGCCAATGCGAAGGCCTAACTGCTGTAACGCTCCTCGATGCTGAGGGGGGCCACCGCTGTTTTTCACCAAGCCCCCCGCGCGCGCCCTGACTCACAACTGCCGTTTGTCCCCGCCCGCTTGTTTTTTTGTTTTTCAAGGGGGGCCACGAGTTGTTTTTCACAACGGGTAACGCGGGAGCCAGGGTGTGGGGGGGCGTGGTGGGCATTGCGGCTTCCAAGTAGACAGACAAGGATGGAAGAAGCGAAAGGAATGCCTCACAAGTTTTTCATATTTGGGGGGGGGGGGGGGGGAATAGCAGGCTAGCAAACCGGAGGAGAGGACGGCGCTCTAGATATGGACGGGTCGTCAATACGACTGCCCAAAAATGAGGAAGAGAAGGTGCCGGAGGTCTTCAAGGTCCTGTTGTATGATCCATGACGACCACCGTCGCATGATGGCTGTCGGGTGCCAGCCTTCGTCACAGGGACTGGAATTGTCGTGGCAGGTTGTGGCGAGCACCGCAGTTGGCCTGGGCAGTCGCATTGGACCCGTCCGGGCCGTGGTTGTTTTTTGGGGGCGGTTTCGCTTCCTGATAGTCCAGCACTGAACGAAAATGCCAGTATTGACCCCCGCCCCCCACTCCCCTCGGCCTGGCCGCTCTGAGTTGTTGTGCGTGCCACGAGGTACATACGTGAGTTGTGGTGTATGCATACGTGTTGGTGACTCTTGCTTGTTCGCTACACTTGTAGCGATAATGTTCCCCACCGCTTGTACCGGTGATTGTGTCCCGTGAGGAGGGGGGGTTGGTGGTCGAGCCCTATTGCGCCGCTCGTGGCTGCATGCACCTACGGGTAGTGCAGGTGTTCGCGAGAGTGCACCGAGACCGGGCCCTTGCGACGGGGAAGTTTTGGTTTAAACGAGTCGTTCAGCATGTAGACCCGATCAAATCCTCCCCCACACGATATGTCGATGGTTTTTCGTGTGCGAAGGGTGCCCTGGGCGTTCTATGCACATTAAACCTTTATAACCCACGAGAAGCGCACGAGATTCGCGGTGGGTGGTATGCCTAGCCGCCATTCTTTGACAACGGTTTACCATTTACTACTCTGCTGTGGTACGCCCGCCACAGTAGTGGGCGGTAATGAAATTGTAAGGGAGTGTCGCGCAGACCCCAATGTGGTTCAGACATGTTTGCGTTTGGCTCCCTCGCACCTGCCTGTTGAGGCCTTGCCTCCCCAAGACTATACACAGCGAAGGCATCGCCCTTCTCATGAACCTGCAGGTGAAACCCTCATCGCATGCATGCTTCAGTAGCAAAGATAAGCTGTTGCCTGGAAAGCGTCATGGCTAAACTGGTACACCCTGGAGACGTCGCCCGTCATGAGGGCCCGCGAGCACAGAGGAAAGAAGACCACCTAAGATTATGGAACTCTCGTTGAACTCGAAACACTTCCATGTGGAGACGTGAGCGAACCATGCATTCTCAGCCTCGGCGTTTTGGTGATTATACTTCGCTTCACTTTCATTTCAAAAGTGCACGTCGTTCACTTTGGTTTCGCTCTTTCGTGTTTGCGGTGTGCGTGACCTCAGGTGTTGACACTGAAAATGTTGTTTGAGCTTGCTGTACAAGAGCCCGTGTTTGTTAGTTTCATGATGCGGTCTTAGTGGGGGCGCCTCACGCACATGCGTCACCTCCATCTTGTACTCAGAAAGTTTCTCAGGTGAGGTTTGCTCCTATCGCCGACCAATCAACTCGGTGTTTCCAATTCTCGTGCTTGCTAAGCACAACGGAGGATGGTCGAGACACCATGCCCAAATGAGAGGATGAAGGTGGTCCGATTAAGTCTGAAAGCCCGCCATCGCCCGAACGGAGTAAACTACTGTCGTGTTTGGTGGGTATAATAGCTGGTGGATGTCGGTGGCACCGAGCAAACACGCCAGAATTTTCCTTCCTTGGCACAACGATCAGCGAAACACAGCTGCACAAGAACCGGATTGTCGTATGCACATGCGGTATGTACAAGTTGACTGACCGCGGCCTCTCAGCTATCTGGTACCATGACAGAGGAGTCAGAGGAAATGTAGATCCGGACCAAACCACGCGCTTGGCCTACCAAAAAACAAGCCAACGCGAGAATGCGTCGCCACGTGTCATGTATTTCTGTCTTGACTATACTGTTAGAGACCAACAAACGCTTGGGAACGTGCTGCTGTACTCGTTTAAGTGGGCAACACCTCACATACACACCTTCACACATACCACGCCATGCACCCCGGTCTCATCAACAACACCCTGTTCCACCACTCCCTATTCTGCGACTGCACCACAAACGTTTTATATTTGACCGTAAAAAGACCGCAGAAACACGAATACGCACATATTGTTCTTTCGCCAAAGAGCGCTGGCAAGCTCGAGGCGCAAAGTGCTTACGGCTGCTGTTTCAAAACGTTTATTGGGCCGCCTCTCTGCCGTCTGTGCAGCATGCACGCCATAAGGTAAAAATAAATCCTTGGCTATGGAGTACGCTCGAAGAAAACAAGCTACTGTACCTACACCGCAGCAGCGAGATGGGAGGGAGCCGCTATCCCAAGAGCTAGAGGGCCACAAGACGGTAAAATCAAGCACAACACATGAGGTACGCCAACAAGAAAAAACACCCAACAAGAACAAAGGAAATCGGTGTCAGGCAATCCCAAAAAACTCTTTTATTGCTCTCCTTTGTCCGCATGACAAGGCTACCCCCAAAGCCAAGAGTCCCTTGCGTCAGCTGGCTTGCCCAAAAAAATCTCCACATCCCGCTCCCCGCTTCTTCGAAAGACTGCACGGGCCGGTTTTACTCTGTTGAGCAAAGAAGAACGGGGAAAACACAGACGATAAACTTCCTCTCAACAATATATTACAACAGCCAAAGGCAACCCTCGACTCACCAATCAAGCAATCTACACACCATGCAAATTGGCCAAACCACATCTAATCAATCTCACCACATCTAGACGTTTACTCCCATGAACGACCAAATAATCGGCGAAAAACGCCTCTTCTTTTCCGCGGGGACGCTTCCCCGTTGTCCCCGTAGTTCCCTCGGCCATCAAAAGACGGCCGGCCTGGCAATGCGGGGGGGGGTGGGGGGGCGTTTGCGTATCCCACGCCGTTGTTGTTGTACCCGTACCCTCTTTGGCTTCCGTTGCTCGTCCACCCATCCCCGTTCCTAGCTCCTCCTTCCGCATGAGGTCTTCCGTTTGGTGTAGGTGTGCCGCTATTGGTGTAATCCGCTCTCGCTTGAGCTACCGCGCCCGAGTGCTGTGGTCTTGTGGCCCGCGCCCCTTCGTTGGCGTCAACACCGGAGGACCCTAACGGGACCTGGGCGACAGGGAGAGGGAGCGACAGGGAGGGAGGGAGGGAGGGAGGGAGGGAGGGAGGGAGAGAGAGAGAGAGAGAGAGAGACGAGGAGCGGGGGGGTCGGAGGGTAGGGAATAGGGAGGGGTAGAGAGGACAGTGAAAGAGAGCGCAGTATTGCGATACGCACGCGAGGGGGGCAGCGTTACGTCAAACGCGTCAACAGACGTGAAAGAAAACAAGCTCGAGCGTAACGCGCTCTACATGCAAACCCGAAAAAAAGCCGACAGAGTTAGACCACCGATGGACGACAATGTTACCTTGAAACCTGTCGCCAGGACGGTCACGGAGACTTCCTTTCCGCAGCGCTCGTCTACCAGGGCCCCAATGATGATGTTCGCGTCTGGGTGCACGTTTCTCTGGATGATGCTCGCCGCCGCGTTAACCTGTTAATGTTGCCGCACGGAGGGAAGCGGAGGCCGGAAACGAGTATGTCTCAGACACCCACCATTACACCCACGAAAAATGCATGCATGTGCACGTAGGCTGCGCACGCCAGGTGAAGCAATGCAAGGTGGTGAGAAAACAACCGCCGCATGGGGCCTTCTCGAGGACGACTTGCACACACACACACACACACACATCTTTGTAGCGCCCTCGTTCGACGGGAAGTAACGGTAAGACGTGATCACGTCACCCAACGAGGAGCGTGGTGAGTCAGCCGAGCATTTGCTTCGTCTGACGGATGAGCAGCGCGGTCGTCTTGTTCCTCGTACGAATGATGCACAGAGGTAGCACGGCCGTCACCACTGTCAAAAGACGCTTTTGAAGCCCGCCTTTGCTCCGTGCATCCGCCCACAACACTCGCATGCCCGACCCAAGGGACATGTTCCCCAGCCTAGAGAAAAGGGCCTCAAGGCGTCAAGGCGGCGTACACTTGTCAACCTTTTTTCCTTTTCGGCATGGGTAAACGATTATCCAAAGTTCCCGATCAAGCTATACAAGAGCTGAAAGTGTGGGCAGCAAAAAGAACGACGTGGTGCATGCCTAGGTGCATTCTTCGCCATTCTGTCTGTTTCACAGGTGCCCTGCACGTTTCAACACAGGAAAGACTCTCGACACGGGAGTCCTCAAACTCACCTCCGTCAACGACATGTCGGCTCCCCCGACAATATTGAAAATCACGCCGGCCGCCTGATCGATGGAGAACTCCAAAAGCGGCGAGACTATCGCCCCGACCGCGGCATCCTCCGCGCGAGTCTAAGCGCAAGGACAAGGGGTGTGGCACAGGGGCGGGGAGAAGGAGGTCGGTCGTTCAAGCTAGCCCGGCCGATAAAAGAGGGGGGGGGCGTACTCTTGTGTTTTGATGCCTTGTAGCGGTTAGACCATTGACCACGCGTCCTCGAGAGGATGGAGCATTGTTCCCACAGGACCGATTACCGATGGTCAATCGTTCCTTCCTACTTTGCCAAAGGTGGCTCAAAAAGTCTTCCTTAGTCTATCCTACCGATATCACTTCCCGCCTTTTCAACCCACTTCCTATGCCCCAGTACAACTAAAAAAAGTGTGGGGGGTATTCAAGTGTTGGCCGAAACGTCGGTGACTTCTTCCTTCTCTTCTGTGCAGTAGTTCGGAAAAGAAGAATAACGACCAGGACCGTTCGCAGCACGGTTGTCGGGTGGAAAAGCAACAGCAAGACCTTTGCACGCCAAGCACCGCTCGTGAGAGTGAGGGAGGAAGGGAGGGAGGGGAAATAACGGAAAGACAACAATGACGCCAGTCTCGGTCCGCCCGTCAACGATATCGTTGACAGGTGACAGGTACCTGTCAGGACCGCACGGAACATCTCAAGAGTTGGTCCACGCACTGGCATAATGTGTTCACTGGGAAAAACGCCGCTCTCTCTCTCTCACCGCGAAACGTCCCGGGCGCTGTTTCAAACAGGCTACTGAACCACACTCCTTCCTCCTTGAAAACGAACGAATAATACGCTGACAAACAAAGGTTTCGCGGGAAATGAACACACCACGGCGACTTTATACACTGCGAAAAGACCAAGGCGTGCCCGCCGGGGAGCACTCGTTCCAATACATAAGGCGTCTTTGTCCGGATTACGGTATGCACTCGGTGCGGTACGGTTTGGTGGGATCTTACCTTTCCCGACCCCATCCCTATGCCAATGAGAGCCGTGCCGGAGTTGGTGATGACCTGACGGACATCTGCGAAGTCCACGTTGATCAGGCCCGGTCGAACGATTAGCTCGGACGTGCCGATCACCTGCCAACACAAGAACGACCACGCGGTCGATACAGTCCATCAAGGGAGACCGATAGATCGCTCTGAGAGGATGGATAGACTGAAACGTCCCAAGGGTTGAAATATGTAGCAGAACGGCAATGTTTCGTCACGCCGCGCCGTAAAACAATGGAGGCTAAAACGAAAAACGCCACCCCACCACCGCAAAAGAACAAAGCACAAGCTCCCCCCATCCCCAGGACTACCCTTCAACATCGCACCAAGATAGTCATCTTCGACCTCTCACTCTTCCACTCACTCACTCACTCACTCACCCCTTGTCGCAAGACGTCGTCCGCCACGAGGAAGGCATCCTTCATCGTCATCCTCCCCGGTACGATCTCCAAAAGTTTGTCGTTCGCCACCACGAGCACCGTGTCCGCCGCCTCCCGGAGCTCGGCCAGACCCGCCGCCGCCTGCCTAGACCTCTGCCGCCCCTCGAACCCGAAGGGCTCGGTCACCACGGCTACGGTAACGCACCCCATGCCCTTCGCCGCGGATGCGATCACCGGCGCCGCCCCTGTGCCCGTGCCTCCTCCCATTCCTGCGCGCCGGGGAGAGGGGAGGGAGAACGTTTTGCTCTCTCGGGGTCAAACGGCGACCGCTTCTTCGGGCAGGTTGTACATACAACCTGTTCGGTAAATACTGCTGTGAGAGCATGCGGTGTGCTCTGCCGTGGTTACGGTGCGGCGAGCAGGGAAGCACGGTGTCACTTCGGCAGTCTCGCGCACACGCACAAAAAAAAAAAAAAGAGTTCGCCCACCCCGTCTTTAGTCTCCCTCTCTCGGCAGTGTTCTGAGCTAGCTCTCAGGCAGCGATCTCCCTCCGGTCTGATGCGCCAAATACTTCAAGGGCGCGGCTTCGGTTCAGGTAAGAAAAAGAGAGAGACGGAAGGGGAAGAGAGAGTCATCCTCACCCGCCGTGACGAACACTAGATCCGCCCCCGCAAGCGTCTTCTCGATCTCGGGCAGAGACTCCGTAGCGGCTGCCAGGCCCACCTCCGGCTTGCCCCCGGCGCCGAGCCCGCGCGTCACCTTTGACCCGAGGGCGATCTTCACCTGAAAGTGGCCAAGAGTTGTCGTAACGGTGGCAGCGGCACCCGGGGGGTGTGGGGGGAGGGTCGTTGAGGCACCCAACCCCTTCGTACTGCAGGTACACGGTACCAGTAAAAAGCCAGCGCGCGGGGTGTTGACACCCTTTACTCCCTTTCACAAGATTCAGCACCAGGATAGCTTTGCTTTTAGGACAGCTGATCCGTTTGCTGGCTGGTGAGGAGGACCATAGGAGGGACGGTTCAAACTCTCGACGTCACAACCTGAAGACTGGAGGACGGGACAGCCCTGTCACCATGTCCACGAGCCAGCTCTGACAGTCCCTACTCCGTGAACGATTTCGTCGTGTTGCGAATACCTCCGCGTGAGACTTCGTCAAGGCCTGCGTGTCGGTGTTCATGGCGACAAACTCCACGCCCGACAGCTTGCGGGTGGCCGTGGTGATCATTCCGTCCACGGCGTTGCCGCCGCCACCGCCGACGCCCACGACCTTGATCGAAACCGGCGACACCAACGCCTCTTCCTCGTAAAAACCCTCCTCCTCCTCCTCCTCCTCCTCCGCTACTGAGTCCAGAGGCAAGGAGCTCGCCCAACCTCTGCTGGTGACGGTTGTTTCGTAGGCCAAACACCAAGACGAGCAGCGGGCAAGAAAGAAACGTCGGTCACCACGATCGGCCGAAGTAGCAATGACAGCGGTCGGCTCGGGGTGGGGTGGGGTCCGACTACAGTGCAATCGCATACATACGGGGAAGCTTTGCGATGGCGGAGGCGAAATGGTGTAGACTGCGTTGGTCTGGGCCACGTGATGTATTCCACGACCCCGACACTTTCGGTCGGCACATTTAGTTGTAGAGAGCTACTCTAGAGAAGAAGGTGGCAGTAAGACGGCGGTGTTCGCGGCCTTGGTTGTGTGCGCCTACACGAGGTTCTGCCCGAACAACTGTCGTCTAAATATCGCCAGTACTATTGTTGTTGTCGTCTTTAATAGGCAGTAGATATGAGTTCGTGACTGAAGCATGCCCCCTTTTGATTGCCACACATACACGATGCGCTGAGGACGGTCTACACATGTCCGACAGAGTAACCGCCTTCTTGAACGCGGGTTTGACGAACAGCGATATTTCTGGGTGCTGCACTGCTACACCTTCGATGGCGGTCGAACTGATATGGGCGTCGGGCGGACAGGAGTCCCCAAAAATCTACTAGTTCTTTCAGCTGCACTACAAATTGTATCCAATCTTGGAGGGTGTGTGTGCTGATCGGCACGAAAACAGATCTATGGAACACGATGGGGTAGAGCTAGGCCTGAAACTTGGTGAAACGCTTCGTCAGCTGACCTGCTATTAGCTCGGAAAACTCTTGCGACCGTTCAGGTTCCTATCGCGCATTGTTTCAAGGTTCTGGTGTTGCGACGGCAGAGACCTGAATGACACCATGCGCTAATGTAGGAACCTGAACGGTCCGCAAGGGTGTTCCGAGCGAGACTATAGTCTATGTAGCAGGTCAGCTTTACGAAATCCAGGTTACCTCTATCCCCATGGTGTTGGCTAAGTTTTCTGTGCCGATCAATACACCCCTCCTACAGTAGATTGGATGATTTTACTGAAAGAACTGGCTTGTGGGTTTGACAGCGTGCGTACGGGCTGCCGTACTGCTGTAGACTACTGTACAGAGTAGTACATGGATCGAGCGATCCTTTCGCGAAATTGCGAGTTTCTTGTTACGAGCCCGACCCTGTTGCACACGAGAGACATAGAGCAATGAACACACCCAAAGGCCTACTCCGACAATATTGTGCTGTCAGCCAGTGCAATCCTGGTACATGCATACATGCATACCTGGTTCGATCGCCGTCGTCCGTCGCCATTACATCGGCAGCAGCAGGTGCCGACAACCTAAGCACTGCGGAGGTAGTAGACACTGCAGCAGAGGTTCTAATTCGGTTGTAGTGGTGGCTCGAGCTCGAGATTTCAGCTCTGAAGGCCACGACGGTAGCCAGAGAAGATACCACCGCGAGAACACGGACTCGACGCCACACCATTGCGATGCCTGGCTTCGTCTGTACCGGGCCTCCCGTGTGTGTGGGTGCTGTGGTTGGGTTGGGGTTCGGATTTGGATCGAGGGGGCTCCGCCCGGAAGATGATCGGGTATATAGTCCTAGCTGTCCGTCGTTCCCCCCTCGGTCCGTCCTTTGGCTTTTGGGTCTTCTGGTCTTGTGTGCCACTTTCCCTTTGCTAAATCAGGCAGGGGGCCTGCTTAATCAGGCAGGAGGCCATGGCGACGCTCGTGGTGTCCATTTGTCACCACGACGGGCGGTCTACTCGGACGGAGAAGCTGCGCCTGTTGGCAGAGCGAAACGATGCCCAAGAGATGGCGCTACTGCTAGGTGGGTGAAACAAAATAGCGCAGAAAGAGAGAGAGAGAGGGACACTCGAGCAGCAGCCCCAACCGCCGCTCGCTGCTGTTGTGCCCATCGTGTGAGTGTCCTAGAAGATCGAACAGAAGCTGGTTTGGTGTCTGTCGCTGACTGAGGCTTGAGCAGAAGTGGACGATCTGTTGCCCACAGCAGTAGTAGTGCGCGGCCGGGAGTCAAGGCCAGTGCATGCATGTACCGTCCACGCCCACGTCCTCACTTCCGAGAAATTGGAACCCTGGTTTGGTTTTTGTTGCCAACCGACGCGATCTTGTTGACGGGTTAGGCCTTTGGTCGAGAGCCGGTGAATCAGTCATCTACAATCCATCTAGTCTATTACATGGGCACACACCTACACAGCAGCAACAGCAGCAACAGCAGCAGCAGCAGGGGTGACAGACAAAAGTGCTGTGTCTGTCGCCCTGCCAAGCTGTCGTTGGGGCAGCGAGATCGCGCGGCTACATCGCCGCTGCGTAGCGTCTAGAAGTAACCAACCGTTTTGTTGCAGAAGCAGTTCTCAAATTATGCATGCGGATTCTTGGCATGTGCAGTTTTGGATTCGGTAACACACGACGACGGTGAATCGCCGACATGGTTGTGTACACACGTGTGTCGCCTTTCATGCGTACTGCCTACACCTTTCGCGGTCGAATCCAAACACCGCACCCGCTCATATTCCAGAGAGCTACTGCAGCAGTTCACGGCTGGTTCGCGGAGGAGCCGTGTGCGGAAGCGTAGCCGCAGTTTCATTTTGTTCTTGCCTTGTGTTGTTCTCGTTCGTTGCCCACCGAAAGCCTTGCACGGCGGTGGTGCCGCGACACACGGAATAGTCATCGACTGCAGGCATTTGCAGGCGGTGGCACACCTGTCTGAATGCGTACGCCACCTACATCGGCCCGCCTTTCGTAGAATAGGTACCACGCTTTTTACTTTTTGTGTACATGCCCTCCCGAAAACCTGCGTACATGAACTGCTTCTTTTTTTTTTAGCTACCACACAATGTTTTTTTTTTTTTATTCTCCTCGTTGGCCTCTGTCGTCTGCCCCTCTGGCCCCCATCCTCCACTTCTACTAAATAGCTGGACGACCCAACCGGGGTCACATAGGAGGGGGGGGATGGACCCCCTCCTGCGGTTCCTGCCTGAGATATTTTTATCGCGAGAAGGGTACAGCAATCCCTTCCCTCGCGACTTATGAAGTCGATCTAGTTTACTAACAACGAGCTTTGCAGCGCGTCCCTTCCAACTTAGACCAGATTGTATTTAGCGAGAAAAAGAACTCACCTTACCGGGACTCCTGCCCATGACCTTGCCCTTAGTAGGCTGCGAGGGTACCCACTAGACCACCGGGGCGACCGTACTTATGCGTGCGGGCATTTTCAAAAGCGTACCCCTGTCATTCCAACAGGTTAACTCTCTTCTCCCTATCTGTCTCGGGTCGAAAAACCGGTAAAAACTAGCAGTGTTGAGGTCAATAGACTTCGACGTTATTTTTGCTGCACGAACACAGCCACAACATGTGTGTGTTGGCGTGTGCATGTAGAAACAACGCGTTGTGTCGTTTGTTGCCGTTCGAGACTTTGTATACTATTTATTACACCGTCGGGATGTTTAAGAACGTTCGTTGAACGCTGCATGTTGTCGGGTGACAGCGTGCTGTCGAGGCCGCAAGATTGCTTTGTTGGCATGTTGCTTCCCCTTGCGCAAATGGCAAGTATTACTTGGTGTGTTGGCAAAGCTTTGTCTCATTATCTACATGCAGCGGAGATAGCCTATACCACTATTATAGAGGCATGACTCGCTGTTTGTCTTTGGGCTGCAGTTGCGAAGACGATCAACACACGCGAGGCCGCCGACATAGCACGCTCGTGAGAGGACGGTAAAAGCCATGCAGCGTCCTTGTCGTGTACTGCAACACAGGGTTTTGTTTTAATTTTCGTTCCAAAAATTTCCTACCCCTCCCGCCCCCCCCCGCACGAAAAAGGCGCGCAGACCCACAGCAGGTTTCACCGCATGTACAGTATTTGTGTTATGGGTGGCGTACAGCACCACCATGGATATGGTAGGGTAACGAACTACACGCGGCTGTGTAGACACCGCAGCCATCGGCTGCACGCACACCAGAGCCGGGCGTCACGAAAATTTACTTTGGTGTGCATGCGTGTTCCGACACCGAATGAAACCGTGGTTCCGAGTATCGTGCGCAATTTCCCCCCCCTCGCCGAATACCTCACGGCGCTTCGCGCTTGGTGATGTGAGAGCCTGGTCCGGTGAGAACCCGGCGTGCTCCGTCCCGGCTTTGTAGGGATGCGAGGTCAATGGTCTAACGACTACGGCATGCACGACTATGAGTACACCCCCCCCCTCGCCACAGGCTTCGAAAACAGCGGCATCGTCGCATGTACTTCCAGATAAAACCCTCATTAGGCAATGCCCCTTTTTTCTATGCCCGCCGTGCGCGCCTGCCGCAGGTGCACTGTTTGAGATCCCCAGCCACGAGCGAGTCGTCGGTCTGGCGTCAGTGACGGGGTCGTGCGGTGTCATTCCCCTGTCGGCATCATGCAGGTGATTTGGAGTTGCGTGTGCTCATGTTATAATTGTCACTTGTGTCTAAGGTGCCTTACGCTTCGGCACTCAATAATGTTTTAAGTGGTCGTCCATCGGCGGCCTGGTTTGGTTTGGGTGTACGATTTAGCAATGCCGGGCTTTTGTCAGATTAGGCCTGACGCGTAGATTATCTAGCCAGTAGCCCCGAATGCTCTTGGGGTCCACATATCTACTACAGGTACGGGACCTACGTGGATCTTACCCCGACAGGTCGGCACGTCGAGATCCGATGAAAATACCGTCATCTTTTGAAGGTGATGGTGCCAAAGCTAGATTGATGCACCGCATGTTTGGGAAATTGTAGAATGAGCTGGGATGAGTTCGACCGCCCCCCCCTTGCCCTCTCCCGCCCGACCGTATATGCTGTCAACACATCACCTACGACATGGTGCATTCGCGTCTCCGCCGTCGTCTCGATTCCAGATACCCCAACCTCATTTTCCGGGAAGAGGAGAGGTTAGGCCGCGTTTTCCGAATCGTCACAAAAGACGCCGCCAGCGAGGACGAGGTGCTCTTCCCCATCTCGGCGCTGACGCCGCCGCCCTCGCCGGGCCTCAGCCGCCTCCCCCCTACCTGGGCCTCCTCGCCCCCCGAGTTGAGAGTGAACACGGCCGAGACCGTAGCGATTCCGGAGCTGGTGTCAACAGGCGCCCTCACGCGGCAGCAGGGCGTGCTCGTGGTCGAGAGGCTCCGCGCAGAGGACCCCGTGGTGTTTGCGGCGTGTCGCGTTGCGGGTGCTGCTGGAGTAAGCCTTGGTTCTTCTACCCCGGCTGGGGAGCGGAGACGGGAGTGGAGCGGTGAGGCGAAGAGGAGCTTTGCTTCCATGGTCAAGGTTGTGCTTGGCGGCAAGGTTGGCCGGGGTGACGGAGGCTCTAGTGTTGGCGAAGCAGATGGTGGCATGCCTCGCAGGGGAGGGAAAGGGCGGGGAAGGAGGAGAGCGTGGGCTGAGGAGGAGGAAGAACAGCAGCTTTGCAGACGTTCGCAAGAGGTGCCGGAGTCGTTCCAGGTGGACGCTCTAGCTCTGGCGGACGTTGCGCTTGTGACCGGGAAGGTGAGCGGGGGCTAGCCGGTTCTTGTCCGTCGTGTGCACACTTGCTGGCATTCGTTCATGCAACCGGCTCTTTGTTCCACGACAGCGTGTGCGACGGTTCATCGAGCGGCCGGTCCCGTGTCGAGGGCACCCTCAGATTGTCAACTCCTCGTCCCTGCATATGTTCCGCGTTCTTTGAGGTTTTAAAAAATCTTGGCGCGCTCCGGACATGTTTTACCGTAGTAGACGTGTTGCTTCGGTGTGTGATTACTGCGCGTCAGGGATTGGGCGCGCAGTTCTGTTGTCTGACGAATAAGCCGCGCGGGGCGTCGCTTACTATTTTCGGTGGAAAAAGAAAAACCCGAGGTTTCTCGCAGGTGTAAGCGGTCTTGCTGCAGGCAAAGGAAACCCCCCCACCTTCGTTAAAACCATGAAGAAACGCACTTTATTTGGGACCAGGTCGCCACCCTGTCACACACAAACACACACACACACACACACCTGCTGCCGCGGACCTCTCTATTCGTGCTACTATACGCGGTGCGGGGCCTAGGCACTGTCTCCTAGGTAGTATGTCTGTTGGCAAGACACGTCGGCGTGTGTGCTAGATGCTAGGAGTTTATTTCAACAAGTACAGTACGACCAATCACGGACGGTCACCACAACAGCAGAAACAGCATCAAATAATGTTGCCGCCTTGAAAGTTGGGGTGCTGTGGTGAACGCGCCGTGGGGCGGCAAAGACAAATTGCTCTGCGGGGCGAAGTCAGAGATATTATTGCGGGGGTGACAATATCAATAAAATTAAAACAGATTGCGGGGGCGTTCTCAAAATGTTTCGACTCCACCGGGGGTATTTGTTTTTTGCTTTTTTTTGGGGGGGGGGTCCTCATGTTCAGGGGCGCTTTCAGTCGTTCGTTTCGTTGATCTCTTGACGTACAGTAGTACCATGCCAGTTCCTAACCTTAGAATATATTTTAGCGTGAGCCGGTTTGCTGTGGGTTGCCACGAGAACCAGCCCACGCCATTATCCACCACTCTCGCCCCCCCCCGCCCTTGTGGTGACGCCAACCTGTGTTGCGAAAACCGATTGGATCGCTTTTGCTATCTCCGTAGATTTCCAAGCAAGCGTACGTTCGGGCGCTGCACAAGGTCGTCACGCTCGACTCGAGCCTGGTTTCGGCGTACCTCGGCGAGCGGAAGCAGGGCCGGCAGGAAGACGGAGAAGGCATGCTCGAGGCCGTCGTGAGAGCGTTCGGTCCTGAACAACAGGGACGCACCGCTGATAATGATGACCCACGGCAGCAGCCCCGTGCCGCTGCAGCAGTTGGAGGGGTGAAAGCGGCGGGGGCGGCGACGACAGACGGGAGTCTGGGGCAGGGCCGCATGGCGGCAGAGGACCTCGTTGCACGCGAGGCCGAGCTGCGCGACGATTTTTTGCGTCAGGTGACCTGGCAGAGAATGGATGAAAGGCGACAGACGGTCGGGGACGGGGTGTTGTTTCATGTCGTTGTCCTGCTGTATGCCGTACGTGCTCGCCTTGGTCGTGTGATTACGTTGCCACTGCTCTTTTTTATCGTCAAACGGCGGTGCCATGGTGGTTCACGACCAGCCGCGGTTGAGCGTGTTCTTGTGCTTCGTTCGTCGGAACGGTAGGCAGCCGAGCCGGTACGGTCACGTCGTCATGGGTGCTGCACGTATGATGTTTCCATCCAGCCCCTTGATCGAAGGCTTCCGTATCGAATCGAATCGAGGCGTACACTCGTCGCTGCCAACCCTAACTAAGTAGCCTTGCTGCTCGCCAGCTCACACGAGATATTACGTATCCCCTCGGGACCACCCGCCGCTCCGAATGCTACCTCTTGCGCGCGCGCGCTGTCGTCGGGTCGCAGGCTCTCTCGCTGATCGAAGAGGGAGGTGCTGGCCTCAGCGCGCAGCACAGGGCGGTGGTGGAGAAGGCGATCTCTGTGGGGCACCCGTGGGTCTCCGCTATCTACGACGAGTGCAAGGAGACCGGCGACGTCCGAGGGCTGATGGTGGGTAGCAGGGAGGGAGGGGGGGCGTACTCTTCTTGTGTTTCGCATGCCTTAGCTGTTAGACCGTTGACCTCGCGTCCTCGAGAGGACGGACCATTGTTCCCACAGGGCCGATCGCCGATGGCCAACCGTTCCTTCCTACTTTGCCAAAGGCGGCTCAAAAGGGAGGAAGGGAGTGGGACAATGCTGACTTTCTTTTTATAGGTTTGGCGTAAGTAGGCTTGCACAGCACCCCCTGCTGGACGGAGGGCCCCACGTGGTATGCCCGTTTCAAAGCAACCGTAGGTGGGTGTCTCCTTGGTAGTATTTGGCACTCCCTCACCTGCTGTTTTTTTTAGGCGCAGCGTGCCATGCCTCTTTTTTCAGTTCAGTGTTGCACTCCGTGTCCGCTTTCGCGCTGCTCGGTAGTGGGCGGCTTACTGACAGTCACCCCCTTCGTTACCCATAAAAATTGTTGCGATCCCCCTCACCTCTTTTGCCCCCAGCAAAATCTTCAATGCCTGCCGGCTCTTCTGGAGCGAGATCAAGCGGTCGTATTGGCAGCCAATACGTCGCAGCCGCCGCCCCCGGGCGAGGCAGACTCTCCGTTTTGGCCAAGACGGCAGCAGCAGCAGCAGCAACAGCAGCGGCAGCAGCCACAACCACAGCATCAGCAGCAGCATCAGCAGCAGCAGCAACATCAGCAAGAACAACCACAGCACCAGCACGAGCAAGAGCCACAGCCATCGGTGAGTCGCACCGTGTTGTCAGCGAAGAATATCCCCCACGCCTCGGTTTCATCAATATCGGCGTCTACCCCAGCAGCAACAGCGGCAGCGGCGTCATCAGAACTAGTAGCTTCGGCGTCGACAGCGCCTGCCAACAGCAGTAGTGCTTCTACTCAGACCGGCAATTCGGCAGAGGGTACCGCTGCTGTCTCTCACGGCGGACTGGTTGATCGTGGAACAATCGGACACGGCAAGGGAGAGGCGGGCAACCCGGCGTTCCATATGGTGGTCGGGCAGCTCTGTCGAGTCGTCGCGGGGTGCTCGCAGCTGCTGAGACTGAGGGGAGTGATCGGGGAGCGCGAAGAGCGGACGCTCAAGACCATGTCCAACAGGGGGAGCCCCGTCTTGCTGGCGGCGGTGGAAGCATACGGGGCCAACCAAGACCTTGAGGTGGGAGCTCTCGCCCCGCCCCTCGAAGCGGGGTGCGGGCTGGCACGCTCTTACCGTTGACGTTCGGCCTTATGTGGAACGCTGTGGCACGTAGAAACTGCTGTTTTGTTTGGAAAATTCGTTGAAGGTCGAGCTTGATGCACCTCTCGCGTGCGTTTTGTCGACAGCGCTTGTACCCCGTGCAGCTTCTCGTATCTAGAAGTTTAGGTCGTTTGAGGTGTTTTCGGCGGAGGAGGGGGCCCCGCAACTGGACGAGATGGGTACTGGTGCCTGTCGCCCCCCCCGTTTTTGAGCCTGTTCCCCATTTGTCCTCTCCCTTGTTTTCCTCATTTCCGCCGACTCTTTTGGTGCAGGACCTCCTCGACACGCTCCAGACGGCGGCCGAGATAGAGCTATCGCTTACCGCCGCCGCTCCTCCCACGGCTACCGCCGCCGCCGCCGCCGCCGCCGCCGTGCCCGAAACGAGAAGGGCCGACCCTCCGCAACAGCGACGGGCTCTTCCCCACCAGCACCAGCACCAGCACCAGCACCAGCAGCCGTCAGGCGTCGGCGCCGGTGGTGGTAGGGGTAGGGGTAGGGGTGGCTTGGACCTCGGCTGCGGCTCCGGTGTTTCTCGAGACGGGGGTGGACGGGCGCAAGCCTCTGTCGGCGTTAGCAGCGACGGTGAGAGCGGTGACGGCGGTCGCGATGGTGACGCGACGGGCGAGAGCATATGGTCGCGGCCCGCCGCGGAAGTCAAGACACCGGCGGCGGCGGCGGCGGTCGGGGCGCGGGCCCAGGAGCTCATGAAGGCGAGGTTTGCGGGGATGAAGAGTGCTGCTGAGGCCAAGAGCGCTGCTGCTGCTGCTGCTGCTGCTGCTGAAACTGGTGGTAGTGTTGAAGGGAGCAAGTCGGCATCAAGCGCAGCGTCATCGTTCGGCAAAGGTATTCAGCCGGTTTGTGGACAATTGTTCGGCGGCGTCGTTGTCGTCTTGCCTTCCGAACCGCACCGAGTATCTATACGATCCCAGGACCTTGATTTTTCCCGCTGGCACTGACGTATTTTGATTGGTCAGCGGGTTGGCGCGGTCGATGCTAGTACTAAACACACACACACAAACACAGATGAGACTGACGTCTTTTCATTGTCAGCCGGTTAGCTCGGTCGATGCTAATATTTAAGCCACACAAACACACGCGACTCGTAGATAGCACCTTGCATCTTGCATCTTGCATCTTGCAGCAAGATTTTATGGTGGTCTCGAGGTTGTGCAACTGGCTGACGAGCGAAAAACGTCTCTGCCACTGATCTGATGCCATTGCCGCCGCCGTCGTCCTTATTTTTTTTTTACTTTGCTGGCAAAGAGGGTAAAGAGCCGAGCGGAGACCGGCGTCTAAGGCAAGACGTGTCCCAGCTGGTGGCCGTGATGGCGAAGCAAGGGATGCTGACGGACAGGCAGAGGCTCTTCCTGCTGGCACAGGTGGGTGATCGATCTCACTCGGGCCGACTGGTTCGCCCGCAATCTCAATCCTCTGGCCGTATCAGAACACTTCCGTCCCTGGACCTTTGATGCAGCTTCTGACCACGCCGAAAGGCGTTCATTCATTCATGGTTGATTTTTCAGGAGAGATCGACGGCGTTCGTTTCAGATACAAGCAAAGCGCTCTAGCTCCCCTGAAACTTCGTGGTATTACGGTGCGCAAGGATTTGGAGTCTTGGATGCACGTGGCTAGCCCTGCCGGGTCCATCTTTCCTATCGCCCGCCGAAATATTTACTTGGCGTCCGCCTCCGTTTAAATCTTAACCACCACGGGCCCTTGATAAATGTTTATGGTTTTGGTGGTTTTTTTTTGTTTTTCTTAATATGACACAACGAATCCATCTCTATCTGTATAGAAAAGAGTCTTAAGATTGACTAAATAGCAATGAATCCAAAGCGTCAGTTTTGTTGTTGTTCTTGGTATTTTTTAATTTTCAGTTGTGGGGACGAACTATTGATTGGATTGATGACGCCCCCCCTCCCACAAAACGGTTTCGAAACGCGCGACGAAAAAAAGGTGGGGCGGCGCATCACGAGAACGACTCGCGAGAAGCACGCTCAGTACCTCGCTACCGGCAACTCGAAGGAGCTGTATACGGTGCTCATGGCGCTGTCCATGCCTCCTCCCCGAAACAAGAAGAAAGGCAAGGCCGGCGCTAGGGTGGGGCCACGGGGGGGACAGGAAGATATCGACGATGACGATAGTGATGATGATGATGATGATGACGATGATGATGATGATGACGACGAAGCAGCTTGGGATGAGGAATCTGGGGAGGAAGAGTCAGAGGAGGAGGAAGAGGAGGAGAGGCATGGAGACAAGAAGCGCGAGCGGGAGATGAAGATGGAGAAAGACAAGGATGGGAACGGAAAGACCTCCGGACCAGGGGATAAAGCAGTGGGCGGGGGCGTTGTCGGGCAAGGCGCCTCCGAGGGCGGGGAGCCGCAGCAAGCCTTCGAGGCGTGCGATGCCCCGGAGCTGTAGGGCGGGCCGATGTTCTCCTCACGCTGGCGATCGCCGTGGTGACAGCGATGGTGCGTACCCCCACAGGTACACACAGGGCTTTTGTTTTTTTCAGACAGGCAGAACAGGACCTGGTGAAAGTATTTGGTGACGGAACCATCCAGGGGGTGGTCGTCTGGCCCTGTTTGGGAATGATGAAGTTGAGGGGGTCGGGGTGGGGGTGCACCAATGAAATTTGCGCATGCTGCTTTAGTCTTGCGAAAGTTGTTGTTGCACCGTTGTCGTACCCCGAGGGTGGGCGTCTGCTACTGCTGTGCGCCCATTCTATATTTCGAGTTTATGTTTCGATATCTTTTCCGGCTTTTTGTGTGTCCGTCGCACGATAATGTTTCTTGTGTCTCTTGTATTTTTGTTGTTTGTGTTGCTCGTGTGATTAGATGAGTTTCTTTATGACATGGGTGGCTTGTCGCTCTCGCCCTCTCTCTCTCCCCTCCCCTGCGTGATGCCAAAATTAGACATCGGACGGCCTTGCTTCCGTTTCGGATGAACACGATCGGTGAAAAGGGCTGGGTTTATACCTTGGGGGTCCGACCAAGTTTTCTTGGCGTGGTTTTCCCCAGCCGGCGTTTTCCGTGCGGGTTTTTCTTTTCTTGTGTTCCACAAACACTTTATTTTCCGTTTACGTATGGTTAACCGTCAGCAGGTTGCGGTGGGAGCTGTCCCCGCCGTCGTGTTGTTGTTTCTATCGCAGTGTTGTTGGTGTTAGTGTTAGTGTTGTTGTCACTGCTGCTGCTGGTACTGGTGTCCCGGTCCTTGTTCATACAACGGGCGGACGAAACGCTTGTCTTGCATACATGTACTGGTGTAGTACTTTGATTTAACATCGTGCTAGTTTTGCTCAAGCGAAGACCATAAGGCTTGCCCGACGCTTTTTTTTGGTTAATTTTGATTGGTCTTGTTCTTCTCGTGTGGCACCGTATGCCGACGAGAAGTATTTTATCAATAATAAATTGTTTTCCAATCTTGAAAACGGCAGTAAACAGCCACTGCAGAAAAAAAGTCCCCGAGGAGTCGCTAGGGCTTGTTCTCGAAGGCGGCGGACTACTGCTGTACCAAGGGATGGAGAACATGGAACAAAGGCGCTTGTCTCTGATGCGGCGATATCATGCTGTACAACAGGGAAAGATGGCTTGAGAAAGGCTGACTGTTAATGTGGCAATATCATGCTGTACACAACGGGGCAGGCTAAATTTGGAACGGCTGATTTTGAAGGCGGCGACATCATGCTGTATATCGGGGCAGATGTCCTAAGAAGTGTTGATTATAATCCGGCGATACCATGCTGTACACAACGGGCAGGCTAACCTAGAAAGGGCTGATTTGATGGCGGCGATAGCATATGTATTGTCGTATGTATATCGGGGCCGAATATCATGAAAAGGGTTCATTTTTAATGCGGGGATACCATGCTGTAGAACGTTGTAGCACAGTAACTCTCAAAGGTGCTAATTTGGATGCAGCGATATCATGCTATTGATTAGACATGTAAAACGGCGGAGCAGAGAGACGTTTGGTACCTGTTGTCAGCAGCGGGCACCCATCTATGCAGCGTATACAGGGTGAACCACTGTACAAAACGGATGATCTCGGAAGTGGCGGCAGGAGTCTTCCACGGCCGCAGTAAAAAAGTGGTACACGGTTAGGCGCATGATCGGTATGGCCCATTCGGAACTTTCCGGTCTTCACGGTTACATCGTAAGCACGGCACGAGAGAAGTGGGCGGGAAGGGGAGGGAGAAGCTTCCTACTGTAAGCGTGTTGCTTCTTGAGACAATACACAAAAGTAGAGCAGTCTCTGGGAATGGTGGTGGTGTACAGCTTCCTCTTCGTTGCGAGAAAAAACGGAACCCGGCCCGGTCTTACTCGTGCACGGCGAGGTAGCGTCCATCAACGAAAGCGTCTGTACAAGAGAATCTGTTTTTCTCGGGGTTGATTTTGTATTTTTCTAAGAAAACTGTATTCTTGTTTGTTTTTTGAAGACCATTTTTTTTTTGCTCTTT